ATGGTGAGTATGGTGTACTTATAAAAATTATATTTGTTTCACAATTCAACATATCCTTTTTGGTCATTTTATATTAGGATAAATTAGTCATTCAATAAATAATTTGGTAGTAGGGTGTACTCAGTTAATTATAGGGTTCATTTAGCAACACTCTTTCGTTTTCAGATCTTTTTGCAATCATTACAACTCAGAATTGAGCGTGCCGCCAGTCTACAGACTTGTATTAACAAGCTTTATGCAATGGTGCCACTGAATTCCCCAAATTCCTTTTGAAACAAAAAATAACTAAAATACTCCCTACTCTCAAGGGCAAAAATGTAAAATTCACAAAAAGTAATTAAATAATTATTTTGGCCCCAAACCAAAAGGGTCATCTTGGCCCACATCCTCCATCTGAGGCCCACAATCCTTTGTTTGAGGCCCACAATCCTTTGTTACAAGCCCAAAGAAGTTAAGAGCACAGAGTAAAACCTTCTTCATGTAACTGCTAATTGGTTTTAATGCCCCAGCAGCTCCCCTCCTTGAATTCTCCTCATATGGAATGATGACCCTTGATATAAGACGACAGTTTTAGAACATACAAGACAACAATGTAAGAGTGGTTAATTCTGACGATATAGGAGTGTAAGAATGTGATTCCATTAAAGACGTCATGTCCTTTTTATAAATCAAACCCATAGTTGCTTCCTCTACAACAAATTATAATAATTAAGAAAACTAATCCAAAATCAAGGCTCCACTCCATTGTAATGTCACGTAGATTAAGTGGCAACATATAAGCAATAAAGTGGCAATAGACAAGCAATACGAAAGCAATGAAAATGCAATAACCAAATTCCTCATGGATGTCTTTGTACTATGTTTTCCTGATTATACAATGTTCTAATTGTTGAACTATTACAATATTTAGTTGCTACAGATAATAAATAGTACATAAAAAAATTAATACAAATTTATAAATAAACCCAATCCTAGACATGTATTTATAAAAAAACCCAAACACTATTTAAACATAGAAACACACCTAAAATCAACCCCAAAATCAACAATTGTATATTTTTGGGTGTGTTTATCAATGGATTTTGAGTGTGTGTAATGATGGGTTTTGGGTGTGTTTATAAAGTGTTTTGGGTGTTGGGTTTTTTTATAATTTCAGCCCCTATTTTTGGTGTTTTAGTGAAACTCCCAAAAATTAATACTCATGTCTGAAAATTTCATCTCATTATAATAATGACCTAAAAAAATAATATCAAGTATAATACACAAATATTATAATCATACGGCTCCACAAGAAGAATACACAATGTCTTAGATGTCCTAACTAATTCTTGAGATCTAATAATAACAAGCATAGTCAATGATGTGTACAATCTGCTTCAAGTTTTCTTAGCATTTTCATAATAGAAGCTTTGCTTTTGACTTTAGAAGGCAGCTCAAACAACTCCTTGGCTACACTCATTACATTATGCACAAAATGGTCTCCAACGCCAGTGTATGACTTGCACATCAGTGCATGCACAAACCAGCTAAATAACATTATGTAACTATTAACCTTAGATTGTTCTTGACAAGTAAACGGGTGGATGTGGCTTTTCTTTTCTTTGTGCAATCTGAAAAGAAAAAGAGAGATAGAGAGAGAAATTCTCAAGACAAAATTGCAGCAAATTAAAATTTAAAGTACTCACCATCCGGAAACAATTTGCTTTCAAATTTCAATGAATAAATTACATCTCAATTTCAACCAACACTACTGCACAACTCATCTCAGAAACATGATTGAGATATATGTCACATCTTTACTGGCAAAGCTTACAACGCTGTCTACATTAATTTTCTACTACAAACCAAAATTTGTATCAGATATAGTTATATATAATGTATAACTTCACCAAACAGGTAAAAAGAAACACAAAATCTAGACAGTAGTAGGCTGCATGGTGCTTAATCATTTCTCATGTTCAGCACATGCACACAAAGAAAGAAGAAAATTATGCTATATAGATTTTTGTTTGATATCAAAATCTCTTCAAACTCATTTTTTCTTCTATCAAAGCTAAATAAAGAATATAAAAAATCAGTGAAATGCCACGCACTGTTAGGTTCGTCATCACCCCTTTTCAGAACATACCAGAGATTTCTTAACTAGCTAAGCAGAGACATCAACAAGACTCAAGAGTCATAACTCAGTACTGCTACCAAAATACAACTTGCCGTCTACGCATAAATTCACAAAAAAGGAGCCATGAACCACTATTCTCCAGTTATAGAGTAATGCCACTCATAACTCTCAAAAATCAATTTAACTTGACACATAGGAATACCTATGAAAACATTTAAACTTAATTCTTCATGTATGCCCTGAATATAATAAAGCACAACCTTAAATTTACTAGAATAGAGATTTATAAGTTTGCCCATGCTTGCAAAGGAGTAAGACTCACAGCTCAATTCAGCATCCTATTCATTACTATCACTTGGTGCACTTGCTACAAGACCACTTAGAAGTTTAGAACTCAGTGGCTTGCAAAATCAAGAAAACTAGAGGATATCCATTCAGATACGACCTCCCAAAATGACAAGGTTAAAGCACTAAAAAGGAGAAGAAAATGAAAAGCTGTACGCACCAATCCCATAGAAGACTTCGATAATTTTTTATACAATGATTTCTTGATGTCTAGCATGATCCCAGAAGGCCTACAAGGCAAAACATGGTTTTACCTGTAGAAAACAAAAAACAAATTAAGGAAATTTTATAAATCAAATGTTTACACCAGAGAGAGAGAGCGAGAGAGAGAGATCATGCAGAACAAATATCATATATTTATCATACCAAAGTGTGCTTCCAAGAAGAATTTGATGTCAGCTTCTTTCTGTCCATTCACATGCTGGTCCTGCTGCAGCAAGAAGAATTTGATCACAATGTTAACTTGAATATTGTGGCTCATGCATCTACCATTCATTCACAATCTGTAGGAAACCAAAGTGCACAAATTAGACCTAAAAATATGGCATGAAGTGGAGCAGGGCAAGGTCACTAAACCCTTCTCTGCCTTTTCTATGTCATGTATCTTAAAACATGCATTTTGATAATTAATGCCTAGTGTAATTTAAGGAACTGAGACCAGTTTGAAAATCAAAGGGAACTGTACTACAGTACTATTAGCTACTATATTTTTTCTCATCAGAACAATACTAAAATTAAAATTAAAAAAATCACTGCTCTTATCATCGGCCTCGAGGGTCTTGCCATCTGTTGGTACTAAGCAATGAAAGGCATCATTTATCTATCAACTAATCGGTAGAATTAAGAATCATACAAGGCATCAGCTACACATGCAAAACCATATAGAAAAGATGAAATTTTGACCATCAGTTGGTATGCTGTCTTATTTAATTGGCCAATTTTTATGAGTAGAAATATTGAAAGCAAGTGTTCATTTGTAATTTCCCTCTGATATGTACCCTAGTGAAATCAAGGGCAAATCCTCAAGACAAATCGAAGATTCAAAAATATATGATACCAACCTCAAGATCGCAATCTTCGGGGTCCGAGTTCTTTATCTCAATCCGGCAATTATCAACCCCCATACCTTCCGAAGCTCAAAGCAAATGCTCACCTGAAAATTGAAATGCTGCCATGTTTTCTCTATACTGGTAGAATTTCTTGTAGGGGTAAAGTTGAACAACTCTAACAAAAGCTTTGTGGCTGGGTGTCCAGAGAATGGCCTTGGGTGTAAATAGAATTCTTCTGTATCAGAAAATTAACTTTTGTTTTTTTTTCCCCAAACGATAGGATTTTCCGGACCATTTTGCTATGCTTAATTTCCCGAGCCCTAATAGGACATGGAGAAAGGCTTTTATGTTATCTGTTGGGCCAAGTTAGGTAAATCGTTTTAGGGTAGTGTTTTACTTTGTTAAAACCATAAAAACGTATTCTATAGAAAGAAGGTTAGACTGGGGTATGAGCTTGATATATATATATATATATATATATATATATATGTGGTGAATTGGATATGAAACCTGAGATTCTTAACCCCAGAATTGCATCCACAAAGTCTCCGGTGAGTTTCGAAAGCCTTTGCGAATTTTGTTCTAAATCCTGGACTGATCTTTCTCCGCTCCAAGGAGACTTCTTTTGCAAGGTAGGGAAAACCATTCCTGTTTCTTTTGACAATAGTTGTACCATGTGATTAAATTTTCTCTAGCATATGATTAACTGCACTTATTTAAATGCGGATGTTTTGTAGATATGAGATCGATATTGGCACTGTCGATGATTCGATTTTGTAGTTGTCCATATGTTATTGATATGTCGCCCTCGATACACTTTATTGAAGTTTACCTTTAACAGAGAATTCATGTCCTTTAGTGATTAGTATTTGTGTTAAAACCCTAGAGGTATGACTATGTATATATGTATATATATATATATATGTGTGTGTGTGTGTAATTGTTATGTGCCTCCTCATTCCGAGCAGTTATTGGAGTCACCTTATTAGGAAAATTAGAGACCCATTTGATAACCATTTCAATTTTCAGTTTTACTTATTTATTTAGTTTTCGTTCGTAAAAAACTGAAAACAGGAAACTTGCTTGGTAATTTGTTTTCACTTCTAAGTTATATGTGGAACTTGCAAATGAAATTTTTCTCGGGGTCAAATTGCTAATTTGATGTCATAGAACGAAAGTGTATGTTACAAAGAGTCCGTAGCATTTGCTGGTGAAGTTTTTGGAATTAGGATGAATTTTTATTGAATTTTGGTTTAACTAAGTACACGGTCGAGTATAAGTTGGGAGGTCCTAGATACTGAATTTTGGGACTAGGTTTTGTTGTTGCATTTTTATCAAGACATTTGTTATTTTATCAAGTTTATTCAGTCCCTAACAATAGATAATGAAAAAAAAACCAGAACATTTATACTTCTTATGTCGATTTTTGCCACTGTTTGATATAACTTGATGCATACTTCTCATGTAGGAGAATAATGTTTCCATGCATGACAATGAAACATTCACTTATTGAGTGGGATGAAGGATGGAACTCTATCCAGAAGAGGATGAACAAGCTGAACAGGGTTATAGAGGGATTATCTGAGACTCCATTCGACGCAGAAGATTTTATGATGCTTTACACAACTATCTACAACATGTGCACTCAACCACCTCCTCATGATTATTGTCAACGGCTATATGACAAATATAAGGAGACAATCGAGCAACATATTACTTTGAAAGGGTGGCCCTCTCTCGCAGAGAAGCATGAAGAGTTTATGCTGCAGGAGTTTGTCAAAAGTTGGGAAAGACATAAAGTTCGGGTTAGGCGGATGTCGCACTGCTTTTTTTTCCTTGCTCGCCACTTCATCCCCAGTAGATCACTTACTAACCTAGAAGAAGTTGGACTTAACTGCTTCCGTGAGTTAAATCTTAGAGCGAGAGTTGCTGCATTCAGTCTTATTGATAGAGAACGCAAGGGAGAGCGAATTGACAGAGGGCTGCTGAAGAATGTGATGGGTATAATTGTTGAAATTGGAACAAAGAAAATGGATGCTTACAAGGAGGACATTGAAGCACACTTGATAAAAAGTACTGGTGAATACTATTCGCGTAAAGCATCGAGTTGGATTGCGGAGGAAAGTTATATGGATTACATGGTGAAGGCCGAGTTATGCTTGAGAAGGGAGAGGAATATAGTTTCTCATTACTTGCATTCAAGCAGTGAGAAGAAGCTGGTGGAGAAAGTGGAACATGAGTTGTTTGAACCTCTTGCTAATGCATTTAAACAGAAAGTTAGTCTTGAAGTTAAAGCTTTGGTCCAACAGGCTACAGATGAAGCATCAAGTAACCAGGATTTCAATGGAGCTTATGGCATGCAGGAACATGTCCTTGTCAGAAATATACTCGAGCTTCACACTAAGTACCTGGCTTTTTTCAGTGATTGCTTGATAAAAAACTATATCTTTCACCGGGCTCTGAGAGACGCTTTTGATCTATTTTGGAATGGACCTGTTGCTGGTAGTTTAGGTGCTGAATTACTAGCTGCATTCTGTGATAATCTCCTTAAAAATGATGGGAATGAGAAGTTGAGCGATGAGGCCGCCGAAGACACACTTGAGAAGGTTGCTAAGCTGGTTTCTTATATGAGGTCCAAGGACCTTTTCATAGAATTCTACAAGAAAAGACTTATTCCTCGACTTCTGTTTGATCGGAGTTCCAACTTGGAACATGAAAAAAGTTTTGTAACAAATTTGAAACAGAAATTGGGTGGAACGTTCTTGACCTCTAGGATTGATAAAATGGTCGAAGATATGAAATGGACTCAGGACAATAAGACCAGCTTCTCGGAATATCTTCACAGTAATCCGAATGTAAATCCTGGATTGGATTTTACCGTCACTGTTCTCACAACTGGTTTGTGGCCAAGTTATAAACCATTTAATCTTAACCTTCCTGCAGAGATGAAGAACTGCGTTGAAGCTTTTGAGGGATTCTACGAAACAAAAACGAAATGTAGAAAACTTAATTGGATTAACTCATTGGGAACTTGCTGCATTAATAGCAACTTTGAGTCAAAAACCATTGAACTAGTTGTGTCAAGCTGTCAGGCTGCTCTCCTATTGCTTTTCAGTGATGCAGATAGATTGAGCTATTCCGAATATTCACTCAGTTAAATCTTGACCATGATGACTTGGTTCAGACTCTTTATTCATTGTCATATGGAAAGTACAAGATCCTCCTGAAGGAGCCTAATACAAAGAATATATCACCAAATGACAGCTTTGAGTTCAACTCTAAGTTCACAGGCAGAATGAAAAGAATTAAGATTCCTCACCTACCCTTGTATGAAAAGAAGGAGGTGATCAAAGAAGTCGAGAAGGACAGGCGATATGCTATCGATGCTGCAATTACCCGGATTATGAAGAAGCAGAAAGTTTTGGATCTTCAACAATTGTTTGTGGAGTGTGTTGAAAAATTGGGACATATATTCAAGCCTGACATAAAAACACTCAAGCAGCGTATTGAAAATCTTATTGACCGAGACTACTTGGAGAGGGACAAGGAAAACCACAACATTTTTAAGTATCTTGTATGATTCAAGGGTTGGAGTCTTCATATTATCCAGGATGTGCTGGAGTTAACACAGCAAGACGAAGGAGTTGTAGTTTCTTTGGATTTCAGATTTGCTGTAATTTTTTATTTAGCTCTTTTAGTAATTCTAGGATTTCGAAAAGAGAGTGGCATTTTTGTTCAGTTTTCTATTAGAGGCAGTTTAGTAAATTTTAAACTGAAATAAATTATAAGGAATTATGAAAATGTTACCTTTCCATGAGCTACCTAACTGTTATGAAGCCTGCATATATTTGAAGCCTTCTTTATATATCTTCTTCTCTGCCTTTTGATTGGTTAGTCCCAACTCCCAACTAACTCTCATCATTGGTTGGCCACTTGGTCCCCTAACTGAAAAATCAACCGCAATAAGCCATCGAATTGCTTCTGAGTGGGACAGAAGAAGCTTCATATCCTTTCGACTCATTCCCTCTTGGAGACTTGGTCTTCTTGTTTGTCCTAGTTTTTTTTCTTTCTAATTTTTCTATATTACCTCTCTTTCTTTCCTTCCCATTGTTGCTAGTTGACCAGCTATGTCTGCGTCCATCTTCTTCATCCTTTTCTTCACTTCAATCTTTCTTGACATAGAGGCCTCAAATGGAAACTGCACACATGGGACACCCGATATTCGATTTCCTTTTCAATTAAGAGGGCATCAGCGTCAACACTGCGGTCACACTGGTTATGAGCTTGACTGCAAGAACGGAACAACCATAATTCACTTCCCATCCTATGATGATTTGGTAGTGAAATCCATCTCTTATGATATCAAAAAACTCGATCTTAATAACCCGAAGAATTGTGTCCCTGAAGTTTATCTTAACCTCAATCTCTCCCTTACTCCATTTCAGTATTACCATGCTGTGAAAGAGTACTCATATCTCAATTGTTCAGTTAGGATTTCACCTCCTTTGATAGAAGTCCCCTGCTTAAGTGGCTCTGACTATCACGTTTACACTGTGGACCTTTCTTTAGCTGTCCCAGATTCTTGCAGTCTTGTAAAAACCATTCCTATTCCTTTTATGTATAGCCCTTATCTCAGTGACAATAGTTTCGGTCTCGGATTAACTTGGAGCTTACTTGGCCATGAAGATTGTGAGGCAAAACAAGGCCAGAGTTCATTGCATCCTAAAAGAGAACAGCAAACCTAATGTTTCACTATGGCACACGCTAAAGGTAAATTACTCAATCCCACCTTGGTTTTTCTTTTCTTTCCATTTTTATCTATTTTTTCCTGATGTGTTTTCCTTATAAGAAGGATATCAAACTTTATCATCCACAACCACGAAACGCCAAGTTATCGAGTGGGATTTATCGGGAGGTAAATGCCAATGTGAGAGTTGCTATAATTGGTCTTATTAATAAGGAACGTGAGGGGGAGCAAATTGACAAAGCACTATTGAAGAATGTGATGGACATATTTGTTGAAATTGGAAAGGGACAAATGGAAGCTTATGAAGAGGACTTTGAAGCACATATGCTAATAGATACCAGCGAATACTATTCGCGCAAAGCATCAAGTTGGATTCTTGAAAATCCTTATACAGATTACATATCGAAGGCCGATGAATGCCTGAGAAGGGAGAGGGATAGAGATTCACATTACCTGCATTCAAGCAGTGAGAAGAAGCTGGTGGAGAAAGTGCAGCATGAGTTGGTGGTGGTTTATGCAACTCAACTGCTTGAAGAGGAGCATTCTGACTCTGGATGTAGTGGTTTTCCTAGAGACATTAATGTGGAGGATCTTTTTATATAAGAAACCTGTTGCTAATGTATTTAAACAAGATTTTCCTGCTTGAAATGGATCACAAAAAATAAATTGTGAACAGAAGGCATGAGAAAGTTTTTGTGCTTATTGCCAGTTTTATAAATCAGTGTCAAAATTCAATAGGCACAATGCAGCATCCAAAAGGTTTACCATGTTCATAAGGAGCATGAGCTTGATTTTAGATTTTTCTGTTAAATTGTGTGCTCTTTTAGAAATTCTAGAGGATTTTTAAATGAGTGGAGAATTTTTTGTTCATTTGACTGTTGAAAGCCAGTTTGAGTCATATATTTGTAAGTATTTTCTTTTTAATATATAATAAGGAGCATATCCCATTATATTATATATTTTCAAAAAAACGAATTTGTTATAATGATATTGAGTTAGGAGATAAATGCTTTAGCCCATTAGTTTGACTTTGTGATTTGTTGTGTGAGCTAACACATGAGAATATATTTTAATATTATATAGTGTATGCAGTGGTGGATTCAGGATTCTCGGGGCAATGGATCTCAATGTAAAAGTGTCAAAATTGTTTATGGAGTTGACAATATCTATAGCAGAAGTCTAGAAAGGTGAAGAACAAACCAAGATATCGTAAATCAAACCAAGCCAACAATATAAATAAAAAATGTCTTTAAAAACTGTAGAAAAAAACATCATAAAACATGGACAAAAGTGTGAGAAATTTTGCATAGGGCTTATAACTCAAGTGTTTAAGAACATTTATCTCTGCATCTAATGTCCTAATATCGCTTGTGTAAAAAACAAGTGTATACATTTTTATTTCTTTATTTTTAACAATGAGAGAGAAATAATTCAAACTGATCTCTTGGGACGTTAGGATGAGAAATTGGGAATGCAAAGTTTTTTTTTGATTAAAAAATATCTCTCACTTTTATTGTAGCTTTTGAATAAAATTTTATTGTAAAATTTTAACCACGGTAAAAATATGCTACACCACAACAAGGTTAAAGTCCCCCCGGTTATGAGCTTGTGAAAAGCTACTCACCTTTTTACAGCAAAACCCTAGGCGTATGGCGATCTTCTTCTCACATCTTTCTCACAATTCCCCTGCTTAAGTGGCTCTGCCTTCCCCTGCTTCCGGCTTCTTCTGCAATGTGGTGAAAACCTTCCTACCCTTTTCAGTATATACTCTCAAGGTTTCATCAGGGCACAAGTTAAAGGTAAAATCCATCTTCCTTCTTCTTGTACGCCTTGTTTCTTTTCAGTTGTTTTTCCCTTCCAATTTTTTGATGAATTGAGATGAATACACACGAGTGGGGTTTTAACATATAAACAAATAGTAGAAATTTGCCAACTTGGATTGAACTGAATCAAGTTGCTTCGAGGTACACATGTGTTCATTCATCTTTCAAAATGTAGAAAGTTGGAAACAAGAGGAATATTAGCTCAAGTTGTTGAAGTCTGAGACATAATATTCTTTTCTTAAAGCATCAATACGTGATTCGAAAGAAAAAAAACTCATAAATTTCATATTGGGTTTGGCTGAGAGAATGAGTTTGAGTAAAATTTCTGACTGGGTTTGGCTGAGTGAATGAGTTTGAGTAAAATTGCAGCTGGGTTTGATTAAAGTTGCAGCTTGGGTTCATTACTTGGTTGATTGCTACAAGGAAGAAGTTGGGTGGAATTTACTATTTTTTTTATTATTCAGAAGAAGGAAAAAAGAGGAGTTATTGGGTTGGGTTTAAATTTTTGGGGCTGGGTGGAATTTAATGCTTTTTCAGGTTGGCTGATGGGAGACGTTGCTGGGTTTTTGTTTAATTCTTTTGGCTGAGAGTTTGCTTGAATCTATATATATATATATATATATATAATATTGTTTGGCTGAATTTCGTTTTCCTGGTTGTTTTGCCGGGTTTGAATGTTTAATTTTCTGATAACATTTTGGTTGAATACGAAGAAGAGAATATAGGTTTTTCTTAGAACCAAAGACTTTTATTAGTTTTTTGTTTTTCCGCACGGCATGAATGTCATTCTTTTCCATATCTACAGGTTCTCTGTAGAGCTTACACTAGGTGTTCTTTCTTTATGTATTTTAATAAATCTCCCTCGCATCATCGAGAAAATTACAGAAAAACAGGAATGGAATGCTATTGAATCGAAGGTTGACTAGTTTAACATGTTAGCTAGTGTTGTGACTGTTATGGTCTAATGTGCATATACTTCAGTTGAATCCTTTAATGATCAGGATTTATGTTAAAGCCCTACATGTATTTATTATCGATATGTAGTTATTGGGAGGTGCCTTCTCACGCGGAGCAGTTATTGTAGCCTCCTCAGTAGGCTTACTAGGGTTAAAATGCTCTAATCTATAGGGATGAAGTATGGTATGCCCTATGAAAATACTATTTACTGTTCTTATATGTCTATTTGATGGCCATAAATGTCATATTTATTTACCATTAAACCTATTTTCTCTTTGGTTTATTTTCTTTTCACAAACAATAAAAACATTGTATCAAGGAGAAGAATCTGATAGAAATTTCAAATTGTAGAATTTTGTCACTTGGTTTAATATAATTATATTGTAAAGGTATCTCACTTGATATTATCTGTATGTGTTTTCTTTGTAGTTGGAGGCTGTTAAAATTTTGCAGTCACAACAATGGGTTACCAATTTATCGAGTGGGATCAAGGATGGGACTATATACAGAAGGGGATCACAAAGCTAAAGAGGATTGTACAAGGATTACCAGAACCGCAGTTCAACTCAGAAGAATATATGAGGCTTTACACAACTATCTATAACATGTGTAGCCAAAAACATCCCCATAATTATTCTCGGCAGCTGTATGACAAATATCGGGAGACATTTGAGGAATACATTACTTCAACGGTGTTGCCCTCTGTAATAGAGAAACATGGTGAGTGTATGCTGCAGGAGTTTGTCAAATGTTGGGAAAATCATAAGATTATGATTAGGTGGCTGTCACGATTCTTTAGTTTTCTTGATGACTACTACATCGCTCAAAATCACGCATCACATCCTGGGCTGAATGAAGTTGGACTTAACTGCTTCCGTAATATGGTTTATCAGAAGGTAAATGCTAATGTGAGATTTGCTGTACTTGTTCTTATTGGTAAAGAACGTGAAGGAGAACAAATTGATAGAGCACTGTTGAAGAATGTGATAGATATATTTGTTGAAATTGGAATGGGACATATGGATCCTTATGAAAAGGACTTTGAAGGATACATGCTAATTGACACTCGTGATTACTATTCTCATAAAGCTTCAAGATGGATTTGGGAGGACACTTATACGAATTACATGTTGAAGGCAGAGGAATGCTTGAGAAGGGAGAGGGATAGAGTTTCTCATTACCTGCATCCAAGCAGTGAGAAGAAGCTGGTAGAGAATGTGAAACATTGGTTGGTGGTGGTAAATGTAACTCAACTGATTGAAAAGAAGCATTCTGAATCTGGATGTAGTGCTTGGCTTACAGTTGATAATGTGGAGGAGCTTTCTAGGAAATTTATTGCTAATGTTATTTTGGAACAAGAAGTTCCTGCTCAAGGTTCAACCTTGGTTCAACAGCCTCAAGATGCCGCAATGCAGGAATGAAATCAATCACACTACTAACAATTGTGAACTACTCTGGGATCTACAGTAAATTGTGCACTGGTTATTTTAGAAATTCCATGAACAGATTACAACTTACAAGTTGTGATCAGTACAAAGAGGCTAGATAGAAGTATAACTCTATCAGGAAAAGAGGAAGAGATTTACAATGAATATACATGCGATAATTGCATCAGATAATCTAAGTGTTTGGCTTGGATTGGGTTTGTCCTTCATATTGTTTTCTCTTTCATTGATATTTTGTTTCTCTATGTTACTTTAATGAAGATAGATTGGGTCTGTTCATCTTCATCTCTCTCCCAAAGAATGAAGATCAATTGCCATTGCCTGTGGGGCCAAGTTAAGTAAAATCCCTTTTTTGGTGGGTCGAAGGAATGGAGATTCCATTAGCATAACAAGTTACAAACAAGTCTAATACAACAAACAGAACAATAAAACAAAAGCACATCCAAACAAAATAAAAGTCTAACCATAATAAACATAATTTAGGCCCAACACAACAAAAACTCTAAGACACATAAACCCTAAAATCACACCCAAGAACTAAGCAGCAGCCGCTGCCACCCGATCTGCCGTCGCTGCCAGTAGAGGAAGGTCCATGAGAACCGACAAAGAAGATTTGAAGAGCGTGGATTCGGGGAAGCAAGCCACCACCATGCATCAAGCTCAAGTGTGGCCAGAAGACCTTCACACGCATTTCCCATTTATGGCTAATTTCTCAACTTCTTTAACAGAATTAATAATAAAAAATAATTCAGATACCATTAATCATTTCATTTGTGTTTTTTTAAAATTACTTTTGTGTATAATTCTTGAGTATAAACATCACAAGAACAGTAAATACGTATACAAGTATTTAAAAATGGAGGAAGTATTTATAAAATGTACAACATCATGTCATATACAAGTATCAATACAATTTCCAGAAGCTCAAAATAACACAAAATTTAAAAATTTAAAAATTTAAAAATCAGCGACTTACTGAAGTACGCCAAGGAAACCAGATAATCTCTATCCAAAACCTGTCACAACACATTTTTTACATCATTAAAAAAAACAGCAAATCAAAGACAACTGTTTGTGCTCTTACACTTTACACAGCAGCCAAACAGAGCACACAGAAATTTTGACTGAAAAAAACCCAACATTAGTGAGGGACGTTCTGTTTTCTGCTTTTCAGGTTTTTATTTCTAATTTTGTTTTACGGATAAAATTGGAATTTAGAATTGGGAAAAAATATTATTTGAAGAGATGACTGGTTTAACTAAAAGAAAAATCCTAATCCTCTGAACCCAAAAAAAAAAAAAAACAAACAAACAAAAAAATCCAAACCCTAAATCCTATACACTTCGAGTGTGAGCCAAGTAAAGTAAAATCCTATATGGAGTTTCCCAAAACCCTACACCCGTTCTATATATATACATAGTCTCATATATTGTTCTGAAAATCAATAAACGTGATCTTCATAAACCCAAAATTCTACGAAGTCTTTACTATATTGTGAAAACTGCTAATATTTTTCTACCGTATAGTGTTATTCTTCACAGATCTTTCACACCCGGACTTCCGAGACTTGTTCTGCAAGGTAGTGAAAACCATTCCGATCCGAGTTGGAGGATATTGAAGATCTCTGTTCGCAACAATGGAACACAGAATTATTGAGTGGGATCAAGGATGGAACTCTATCCAGGAGGGGATTACAAATCTAAAGAGGAGAATTGCAGAAGGGTTACCAGAGAATCAAGTCAATGCCCCAGTGTATGTTGATATTTACACCACTATCTATAACATGTGCATTCAAAAACCTCCCCATAATTATGCTCAGCAGTTTTATGACAAATATCAGAAGACATTTGAGGAACACATTACTTCAACGGTGTTGCCCTCTTTGAAAGCGAAGCATGATGAGTTTCTGTTGCAGGAGCTTGTTAAAAGTTGGGCAGATCATAAGGTTATGCTTCGGTGGATGTCCCGAGCCTTTTCATATCTTGATCGTTACTTCCTCGCTCAGCGATCACTTCTGGGGCTAAATGAAGTTGCACTTAAATGCTACCGTGATTTGGTTTACCGGGAGGTAAATGCTGTCGTGAGGGTAGCTGCACTTCATCTTATTAATAAAGAACGCGAAGGAGGAGAAATTGATAGAGCACTATTGAAAAATGTGATAGAGATATTTGTTGAAATTGGAGCAGGACGAATGGATGCGTATGAAAAGGACTTCGAAGGATACATGCTAACCAATACTCGTGATTACTATTCTTGTAAAGCATCAAGATGGATTTTGGAGGACAGTTATACAAGTTACATGATGAAGGCAGAGGAATGCTTGAGAAGGGAGAGGGATATAGTGTCTCATTACCTGCATCCAAGCAGTGAGAAGATGCTGGTGGGGACAGTGAAACATTGGTTGTTGGTGGTATATGCAAATCAATTGATTGGAAAGAAGCATTCTGAATCTGGATGGCGTGGTGGTTGCCTTACAGTTGATAATATCGAGGAGCTTTCTAGGAAATTTATTGCTGCTGTAGTATTGGAACAGCAAGCTCCGGCTCAGTGTTCAACCTTGTACCAACAGGCTGAAGATGCTGCAATGCGGGAATGAAATCAATCACACTACAAACAAATTGTAAACAATAGACATGGTAAAATTTTGTGGTTTTTAATATTTTATCATTTAATTACTCTTGAAAAGCCTCTGCCAAGGTGATCAAATTGACAAGTACTTCCATTGTGAATTTGTACCAATAACTTGCTTTTTGGGTACATAAACCCAGCAAAAGAGGTGCCCATTTTCTTGAACCCATTCAAATAATGTTTTGGGTACAAAACCCATTAAAAAACACCTACATCCGGTACCAAAAACGATGGCGGAATTAGGTATATATGGCCAGTCAGAAAAATATGCCCGTTCAAGCATTCCATCGAACAGTATGCAGGCAACAAAATCCAAACTAAGCCAGACATAACATGCTGTACCCAGCTTAAATCTTCCTGAAAAACAGGCACATGATCGTATTTTCAGTTTCCTAACTAAATAAGTGATGTTGTCATTGCACAGGTACAAGTATTAAACATCGAAAAATAAAAACGAAAACTATACAGCTAGAATTGGAGCTCCTGAAACCTGCTCTGCAAATACATGGCCAGTACTAGAAAACACGAGGAATAAGGAGAAGATAAAAAATAGTGTTATCTTTATAAGCCCAACCCAAGTTAATTAAAAGTAGCCCAGCCCAACTGTAAGATTTCATCTGTAAAGTCACCCCACACACATGAAGCATACGGGTCGTGTTTGCAGGTTTTGTGTCGTGTTCATGTCAACCCATTAAGAGAAGTGGGATGACTCGACTCGACCTGTTAAGCTAACGGGTGAAAAATACCAAACTCAAACACAACCCGTTATAATTCGCAAATAACCTGAACCGACATGTTTAAAAAAAAAAAAAAAAAAAAAAAAAAAAAAAAAATTATTAAAAAAAAAAGAAAAAAAAGAAAAAAATAAAAGAAAAAAAAAAATCAACCACCACCAAAACCGGGTTGAATGATTTCAATCTTCCTTTTGTTTATGCTTTTGCAAAATTAATATTATATTAACTTTTTTGGGGTAAATACCATGAGATGTTCCACTCAAAGGATGGGATTAATATATCAACTTACCTACAACATTATATGTGTATAAATATCAAACGAATTCAATGATTACTAAATTAGCACGCGCTTTACTCCCAAACAGGGAGTAGGGGTTTGATTCCCCTTCCTAGCATGTGGCATAGTGTGATTGTAAATGAATTTGTTAAAATATGGAAGGAGTAGCAATGTGTATCATTTTGGTATTTTTTTAATTACATTATTGAAAAATCGGATGGTATATTTTAGTCATCAACAGAGAAAATTATGTTATTATCTTCCACATTAACCAAAGCTCCCAGCTCTTTCATGGTTTTTATTTCTAATTTTGTTTTAAAGAAAAAAATTGGAATGTGGAATTGGTTGAAAAAAAATATATATATTAGAAGAGATAACTCGTTTAGAATAAATTAAAAAATTAAAAAATAAAAAAATAAAAAATCCTAATCCTAATCCTAATCCTAATCCTAATCCGAATCCTAATTCTAATCCTAATCCTATACGCATTGGTGTGAGCCAAGGGTAAAATCCTATATGGAGTGGGAGTAAAATCCGATCCGTTCTCATATAAGTAATGCGATTCTCACATTAGCATTCCATCCGATCCACCTACTCCATATATTGTTCTGCAATCCATCTCTTTGAAAATCAATAAACGTGAATCGTGATCTTCATAAACCCTCTAAATTCTATCAAGTACATGTTTACTATCTCCGGCTTCCGAGACTTGTTCTGCAAGGTAGTGAAAACCATTCCGATCAGAGTTGGAGGATATTGAAGATCTCCGTTTGCAACAATGGAACTCACAACAATTGCTGAGTGGGATCAAAGATGGAACTCTATCCAGGAGGGGATTATGAATCTAAAGAGGAGAATTGCAGAAGGTATACCAGAGAATCAAGTCAGTGCCGCAGTGAATGTTGATATTTACACAACTATCTATAACATGTGCATTCAAAAACCTCCCCATAATTATGCTCAGCAGTTATATGACAAATATCAGAAGACATTTGAGGAACACATTACTTCAACCGTATTGCCCTTTTTGAAAGCGAAGCATGACAAGTTTCTGTTGCGGGATTTTGTTAAAAGTTGGGAAGATCATAAGGTTATGCTTCGGTGGATGTCCCGCGCCTTTGCATATCTTGATTGCTTCTTCGTCCGTCAGAGAAGGCTTCCTTGCCTAAAGGAAGCTGCAATTATCTGCTACCGCAATTTGGTTTACCGGGAGGTAAATGCTAAAGTGAGAGAAGCTGCAATTCGTCTTATTGATGAGGAACGCGAGGGAGGAGAAATTGACAGAGCACTATTGAAGAATGTGATAGATATATTTGTTGAAATTGGAGTGGGACAAATGGATGCATACAAAAAGGACTTCGAAGAATACATGCTAAACGATACTCGTGATTACTATTCTCGTAGAGCATCAAGATGGACGTTGGAGGACAGTTATACGAGTTACATGTTGAAGGCAGAGGCATGCTTGAGAAGAGAAAGGGATATAGTTTCTCATTACCTGCATCCAAGAAGTGAGCAGAAACTGGTGGCAATAGTGGAACATGAGTTGTTGGTGTTTTATAAAACTCAACTGACTGAAAAGAAGCATTCTGATTCTGGATCTAGTGCTTTCCCTGGAGATGATAATGTGGAGTATCTTTCGAGGAAGCTTGCAGCTAATGGAATTTTGTAACATAATGTTTCTGCTGAAGAAGATGCTGCAAGAAGCCAGGCTTAAATGAATCGCATCAACAATCATGAACAATAGACGTGTTATTAATTATTACTTTTTTCCAGTTTTACCCTTTTGTTTGCATCTAAAGGATTTTGAGAAGTGGATTAATTCAGTTTTAATTTGCTTAGTTTGATGTATGCAATGCAACCATATATGGATCATGAAATTTCTTACTTTTAGTTCTTCTGCCTTCTCTGTTTACACCCGGATTGCTTAATGTATTTTCGAAATCTCTTCATTATCTTTCTTAATGGTGTTGCCCTCTCTGAACGAAAAGCATGATGAGTTTATGTAGTGCAGAAGCTTGTCGAAAAATGGGCAAAACATAAAATTACGATTAAGTGGCTGTCACTCTTCTTCAATGATCCTGATCCTTACTTAGAAATCACTAGAGGGGCTGAATGAAGTGGGACTACTTACCTGCTTCCATGATTTGGTTAAGCAGGAAGTAAATGCTAATGTGAGAATTGCATTACTTGTAAGTGGGGACAGCAAATTGACAGAGAACTATTGAATGACGCATTGATGATGTGATGGATATACTTGTTGAAATTGGAATGGGACGATTGGATGCTTTTAAAGAGGATTTGAAGAACTACATGTTGAAGGCAGAGGCATATTTGAGCAAGGAGAGGGATAGAGTTTCTCATTACTACATGAAACCAAAGTAGCGAGCAGAAGCAGGTGAAGAAAGTGGAATGTTGGTGGTTTATGTAACTCAACTATTTGAAAAGAAACATTCTGGTTCTGAATGTCATGCTTTGCTTCGAGACGATAAGGTGGAGGATGTCTTATTTCTAGGAAATCTGTTGCTGCTGAAAGTTCAACTTTGGTAATGTTTTGTGCTCAATGGCAGTTTTACCAGCCAAACTACCCAATTCCCAACTAAGTTATGTGCAGCTTTGTTTCGGCTTGCCATAAATAATCCATGGAGCTTTTGAGATATCTTGATAATGGCAGCATCTTCAACGACTTCAAGTCTCCAACCCCATCAACTTAACTTAAGATAATTATACAATGGAAGGCATGGTGAAGTCAACAATACTTAATTAAGAAGAAGAAAATGACTTGTGCGTATTTGGAAGGTAAGGGGCAAGCAAAACGCCAATAGACTACGAAAAATTAAAAGAAACTTGGTGGGAAGAGTGACAGCGATTCAGACCAAATTACCCTTTTTTTTCATTTCTTCCAACCGAACTACCCAATTCCCAAGTAATCTATTCTCATTTATGGGTCCCTAAACTTGAAAAATCAACCCCAATAAACACACCATGACGAAACAAAGTTTGGTTAAACTTAAAAGACACCCATTTCTTTATATCAAAACTGAGTCTCTCAAGTCTTGGTCTTTACATCTCTTGAAAAAGACAGGTACAATTAAGCATCCCAAATACTTTAGTCTGGGCGGCAGAAGCTTCAATCTCTTTTGGGTCTTTCCATCTTGGAGTCATCTTCTAAGGTGTCCAAAGACTTTTTCCTATAGACTTGCTTTTCCAAATTTTTATATAATCTGTTTTTATATATGTATATGTAACAGGCTAAGGAAACCCATCAGAGTGTCTTTCTCATTGCCAAGCTATGCATGCCTTCACCTTCTTCATCCTCTTCTTCACTTCCATCTTTCTTGAAACACAAGCAAGCGATGAAAACTGCGCAACTATGTGCACTCATGGGAATCCCCATATTCAGTTTCCTTTCCATGTAAGAGGGCAGCAGCCAGAACACGGCGGTGACCTTATTTATGAGCTTGACTGCAACAACACCACCAAAACTACCACAATCCACTTCCCGTCTTATGGCGACTTGGTCGTCAAATCCATCTCGTATGACATGAAAAGGCTTGATCTTCTCGACCCCAAGAGTTGTGTCCATGAAGTCTTTCTTAACCTCAATCTCTCCCTCACCCCATTTCAATATTACTATGTTGTGAAGGAGCACTCATATCTCAACTGTTCAGTTAGGCTTTCGCCTTCTTTCTCCGAAATCCCCTGCTTAAGTGGCTCCGACTATCATGTTTACACCGTTCCCCCTTCTTTGGCTGTCCCAAATTCTTGCAGGGTTGTGAAAACAGTTCCTATTCCTTTCGGGTATAGTCCTTATCTCGCTGACAATAGTTTTGGTCTTGGATTAACTTGGGGCTCAAATGGGGATGGAGAACAAGAAACAGAATGCTTCACCATGGCACATGTGAAAGGTAAATTCCATTTCCCTTTTCTTTTGCCTGCACTTTTTTCAATTATTTTCTTCCCTTATAATTCTTTATTTAATTCATGGACGAAATTAAAGTAGAAACAAGAGGGATATTATTGTTCATCTTGTAAAACCAGAAACTACCCACATAAATTCATATATAATAATGAATATCTATCATTTTGTTCAATAATTTGTGACTGAAATTTTAGTCAATGACTAGAAATGATATTAAAATGACATTATAAATTCTATTAATTTGATCTAGTCATAACAAACAAAGAAAAGTCTAGTCTACGGAGAATAGTCTAATCTAAAAGAAGATTCCAAACTGGATAACTTTCATTATATTGACAGAAAAAACATGCTCCATTTCCCACTTGTCACGTATTCCTTTGGCTTTTATGTGTTTACTTTGTCTTTGATTCATGAAAAAACACTACTTGGGAACTTTAATCTGTGTTCAATATTTGAAGCCTCTGTCAAGTTGATTAAATATATATGACCCAGGACTTGTGCCGGCTAGTCAACCAAAGAACATAAGGAAGCTTCCCTTCTTGTTAAATTTTATAAAGAGGGGCCAACGGCTCGTTACTAGCAATATTGATATTGTTTCTAACTTAACCACCTACAAAGCCTAGTAGGTATGGGGTTTTATCACAAAAGGCCTCAGTAATATTAGTAGTGTAACAATTCATTATATCTTGTATTTTATTTAGTCAAATTTTAGATGTGGAACTTATATTCTTCAACACTTCTAGTCACTTTTGACCAAATCAATGTCATATATTACCGTCTTCTCCCACTTAAATTTATGTCTACCAAATGATGATGAAATTGTCAACCATCAAGGAGTAAGAAAAAGCCCTGCTTTTTTTGGTAAAAAAAAACCGGCCCTGCTTAGGTGACCAGTTTAATGAACTTGTATTTTACAAAGAAATGATTTCTAATACTTCTGGTTTGATGTGTGCAGTGGTATGTATTGCCATCTTCATTTTCGCGGCTGCGGCACTGAGAAAATTAAAAATTTATCGGTCTAAAAAGCTACAACATTTGATTGAAGGGAAGGATCAAGTTCAGGGTGAGAAATTATTAGGAGATTATAAACCCCTTAAACTTGAAACATGCTGCAATTCCGATCTCAAGCAGGGAAACAGTCAGGGTGAAACAGTTTTGGACATTAGTATCATGAAGCAACACAAAATGCAAGCTATGAAATGAATTATTTTTAGATTTATGGCAGACCAAGCACTCAAGAAAAATGTAGCATCCACCTTGTGAAGAGGGTTAAATGACTTTTGCAATGTCTTTGAGCCCATATCTATGTCTGCTAAGCATTGGTATTCTAGCATCCTTTGGCTACCAAGTTTTTTCATCATGTCTTATGATAGGGACTTTCAACACCATAAATCTTCACCTGTTTCAGTTGTTGAAGAATTGTTGTACTTAGTAACATACAAGCAACCTTATACGTTATTGGATAATGAAATTCAGTTGAAAAATCATAACTGAGAGAGAGAGGCTGTACATTTTATACCAATGAACCTTTTTTTTTATCAACTCAAAGCCAAGAACAAACTGTTTTATGAACTATAAGCATTCAAGCGCTAACCGGTACTTAGTAAATAAATACGGCGCCAAGAACTCATTTTCACCAACCTTGATATACTCAAAGTTACAATACAGGCAAGAAATCAAGGAGAGCTTTATGGAATTCCCAAATAATGAACAACAAAATGAAATCATCCAGAAGCTTTTTGTTTTGCCTTTCTATATAAAGAACTCTAAATAAGACACGCCCACATTAGAGGTGTAGAACTGCTTACCTTCTACAACAGAGCAACCCATGGACAAAGAAAGAAAGAACGAAAGATTAGATACAGAGTATGTAACACTGACATTGAAGGAGAGTGGGATGACATTTGGATCAAGCGAATACTATTCTTGTGCAGCATCAAGTTGGATTGTGGAACTTTCTAAACCTGATTACATGTTGAAGGCTTAGGAATGCCTGAGAAGGTTGAGATATTTCTCATTACCTGCATTCAAGCAGTGGGCAGAAACTAGTGGAGAAATTGGAACATGAGTTGCTGGGGGTATATGCAACTAACTGCTTGAAAACGAACTTTCTGGATGTCATGCTTTGCTTAGAGATTGTGAGGTTGTTGACTTCCACATCTAGATGACCATGCTTAGAAAACATCAATCATTTCCTTAGTGCTGCTTCAAATACCTAAGTATGCGAATCAAAACTTTCATGTGTGCTCAATTAGGAGGGTGCATAAATTGACTTACCATGTTAACAACGTATGCAGTATATGGACGGTGCATAAGTTGGCCACAAACTATAAGCAAACTCTCTTCACTGATAGAGCTTCAGTTGTCAAGATTTGATCTTCCTGATGTTGACCTCAGATCATCAATGCCCTTTATTAATTCTTCTTCCACCTCTCCTCAGGGCCTTGAACTTTCTGAGAATCTTCTTTTTGATTCCTCAATATTTATTGGATATCCAATCTTAGCTGCGACCTTGTCCATATTGGATTAGAAGGAAATCAGCTACAAGGTCCCATCCCAGGTGCTTTCACAAACATGGTCTCTCTAACATCTCTTCAACTCAACACTAATGATTATACAAGTTTTTCTTTTTCCGGTCATTTATCACCACCCAAACATGAAAGAATGTAGAACATGTGATTTATTATAGAAAGTTTGTAAAGAGATAGTGTATTAGAGAATTCAAACCAAAACAGAGCAATTCCCAGAATATCTGAATATGAAAATGTGCTGATTTTGGTGACTTCCACTATCACTTTTCTTGGCAACCAAAGGGATTTCAAATCTATAATGTTAAAGAATGTAGAACATATGATTAATTAGAAAGATTTTAAAGAAAAGTATCTTAGAGAATCCAAATCGGGGTGGGATCCAGAGCAGAGGATCCTCTGCTCTGATTTTCTCTGCCATGATCTGCTTTACTTTTGTTCTTCACACGCCACCTCATTAAAATTTAATCTAAGGGGTTTAAAAGTTGACACATCATCCTAAAACAAAAACCCAATTTACTCCTAATTCAAAAAGAATAAAAGTTAACACATCTTTGGTGTCATTCGCCAAAAGTTATTGCACCTCAACTCAACCCTTGGATGGCAAAAGGATGAATAGACGGGGAGAGAACGCAGTTTATTGCCTTTACTTTGTCAAAAATATATATTATTTATTTCTAAAATACATGTGCTATATTCTCTACCTTTTGAATTTAATTTTAATTATTTTATACACAGCAACATAGACACACTTTTTTTTTTTTTTAACCATTAGTGAGGGACGTTCTGTTTTCTGCTTTTCATGGTTTTTCTTTCTAATTTTGGTTTATTAAATTGGAATTTAGAATTCGGAAAACAAAATTTATTAGAAGAGATGGCTGGTTTAGCCCGTTAGTTTATGGGCTTGGTACGTACTTTTTCCCTTTCTTATTTTTTCTAGGAAAGGAACACCAGTGTATACTTTCCTAATCCTAATCCTAATCCTAATCCTTATCCTTTGACCCAAATAATTATTTTATAATGTGAGTGAGCCAAGTAAAATCCTATATGGAGTGGGAGTTCCCAAAACCCTACACAAACTCTATAAATATGGTCTCCCTGGTTATGAATTTGTCTCACATATTGTTCTGCAATCCATCTGTTTGAAAATCAATAACCCCTGATCTTCATAAACCCTAAATTCTATCAACTTAAGTGTTTACTATATAGTGATATTCTTCACAGATCTTTCACAGGCCGGTTTACGCGAGACTTGTTCTGCAAGGTAGTGAAAAGCATTCTGATCACAGTCGGAGGATATCGAAGATTTCGGTTGGCAACAATGCAATTCAGAATTATTGAGTGGGATCAAGGATGGAACTTTATCCAGGAGGGGATTATGAATCTAAAGAGGAGAATTGCAGAAGGTTTACCAGAGAATCAAGTCAGTGCCGCAGAGATTCTTGATACGTACACAACTATCTATAACATGTGCACTCAAAAACCTCCCTATGAATATACTGAGTCCCTTTATGACAGATATAAGAGGACATTTGAGGAGCACATTACTTCAACGGTGCTGCCCTCTTTGAAAGCGAAGCCCAACGAGTTTCTGTTGCAGGAGTTTGTCAAAAGCTGGAGAGATTATAAGGTTATGCTTTGGTGGATGTCTCGCTCCTTTGCATATCTTGATCGTTACTTCCTCAATCGGCGATCACTTCCAGGGCTAAAGGAAGCTGCAGTTAAATACTACCGTGATTTGGTTTACCGGGAGGTAAATGCTATCGTGAGAGAAGCTGCAATTCGTCTTATTGATAAAGAACGTGAAGGAGGAGAAATTGACAGAGCACTATTGAAGAATGTGATAGATATATTTGTTGAAATTGGAGCAGGACGAAGGGATGCTTACGAAAAGGACTTCGAAGGATACATGATAACTGATACTCGTGATTACTATTCTCGTAAAGCATCGAGATGGATTTTGGAGGACAATTATACGAATTATATGTTGAAGGTAGAAGAATGCTTGAGAAGGGAGAGGGATATAGTTTCTCATTACCTGCATCCAAGCAGTGAGAAGATGCTGGTGGAGACAGTGAAACATTGGTTGGCGGTATATGCAAATCAACTCATTGGAAAGAAGCGTTCTGAATCTGGATGTGGAGGTGATTGCCTTACAGTTGATAATATCGAGGAGCTTTCTAAGAATTTTATTGCTGCTGTAGTATTGGAACAGCAAGTTCCTGCTCAGTGTTCAACCTTGATCCAACAGGCTGAAGATGCTGCAATGCAGGAATGAATCAAGCAAACACTACTAACAAATTGTAAACAATAGACATGGTAAATTTGTGTGGTTTTTATCATTTAATTAATCTTGAAAAACGTTTTTTTACCATTTTCTTTCACATTGTTGAATTTTTTTTAATTTGATCCTTATCTGGAAAAACGCTGCAAAGGTGATCAAATTGACAAGTACTTTGAATTGCTAATCAGAGTTGTTGCCATTGTGAATTTGTAACAATAACTTGCGTTTTGGGTACAAAACCCATCAAAAAAACACCATACCCAATACCAAAAAAGATGGAGGATCTTTGTATGTATGGCCACTCTGAAAAATATCCCATTGAAGCATTCCGTCAAACAGTATGCAGGCAAAATCCAAACTAACCCAGACATAACATACTCTAACCAGTAACCAGGTAAAATCTGACTGAAAAACAGGTACATGATCGCATTTTCGGTTTCCTCACTAAAAAAATAATCTTGACAATAAATGGGTACAAATATTAACCATCGGAAATGAATCAATTACTACTTGTAGTTGAATATTTCCCTAAAATTGAAAATACACTCCATGATGACACAAAGTTTGTTTAAACTTACAAGACACCCATTTCTTTACATCAAAACTGAGTTTCTTTAGTCTTGGTCTTTAGATCTCCTGAAAAAGACAGATATACTTTAGGTCAAATAAAATTGAAGTATACCATTAATGCTGCACTGATGAAATCATGAAAGCATTTTTGAATGTTTCCCGAGAGAAAAGGGAAAGAAAACAGGCAATTTTCACATGAATGCTACCACAGTGCGCAGCTATGTCTTTAAACTAATTAAAGGCTCAGTATGGAGATTTACAGCAGTTCCACAGTTCAGTCTACTAAGTCTTCCCCCACTGCACTGCCTTCTTCCGTTCTAGAATTTTACAATAAGAAAATGAAAGATTTTGTTGAATTAGTTTACAGCAACCATGCGCTTCGATGCGTGTCCTTCCTTCTCCAATTTGTTCAATCAAAAACAGGATGTCATGAGCTGCATGCCAACATCTTCTTACATTGCAGCTTCTTTTCTCTGGGGAACGCAATACAAACAGTTTGCTTAGTGAATATGCATCACCGTCATCACTGTATCACGTCATGCCCATGCACATGCAGGGCATAGATAATGTCGCGTACAACCACAGCCCTCCCCCTGAAAGGGGTATTATCACAAGTATTGAGTTTCAGTTTATTCCATTCCTTCCCTTTCTAATCTCGTGAAAAGCAACATTATCAAAATCCATGGACATCTGACCCAATGAAAACAAAATTACCCCATAACAAACAGCATAACCCTCTATGTTCATATGATAGCCATTGAAAAATGGAAAAGGAGGCATTGACACCCAAGTCTTCTCATCAGGATCATACTTCTCAAAGCTTATTTTCGGAAATGGATGCAAGTACGATAGAGATGAAATATAGTAAATCTTTTCATAGGCAGAAAACACAAGTCCATTTGGCTTAAATGATTTGGACTGAGGAATGGTTGAACGATGCAACAACCTAGTCCCCACGTCAAATATATGTCCACACGGTGACTTAGCGGAGGAGGCATCTAAACCTTTAACCTGATTCTCCGGTAGGAATAAATAAGTTGGAGTGGCTGAAGAATCATGCAGTCTGAATGAAACACCCATCAGAAAACGTGGCAAGAGGTTTAAGTGTTGGGGGTTTGACACCTTCTCTGCCCACATCTTCTCCTTTGAATTTAACTTCATAAATTGCATTTTTGCATTTGCCCACTAGAAACACTGATCTATCTTCCCCCTTACATATAGAACAAGAACAAGTCAGTGATGCATGCTCCCCCTCCATGGGCATGCTGGACAGAGAAGAGAGACATATAGGACAAATCATTGATGCATGTCCCCACTCCATGGGCATGCAGTAAAGAGTAAAGAGAAGAGAGACATATAGGACAATTCATTGATGCATTCTCCCCCTCCATGGCATGCTGGACAGAGAAGAGAGACAAATAGAAAACTTGAGCAAAATTCACCGAGAAACTAAAGAAACAGAAAATTGATCGAAAATTTTAAAAGGAAAAAAGAAAAGAAACAACAACGTGAATCAAGAACATCAATAACTTTGTTTACAGAAAAAAAAATTAAGAAGATGATATTATCATGCCCCGGACCCGATGGTCGGTGGAAACCCCGTGCTTGGTGCGTGAGAAAATAGAAAGTAAAATAAAATAAAATAAAAGCCGAAACATGGGTTTAAAATAAACTTCTCTTAAAAAAAATAGATCCGAAATCTTACAACTTTACAAGAAATAAATAAAGCTCTACTACTCTCATGTAATTCAGCCTCAATCAATTTAGTTCTCATCTTGCCCACTAATTCATCTGAAAAGTTAAACAGAGTGAGGGATGAGCAACCACCGTTCAGTAGGGACATGAGACCTTACCACAGTAGATTGATATAACTAAATTAAGTAACATGCAATCACACAGCAAAATATCACATTAATAATAATAATGCATGAATACTCTTCATCTACTCTCGTTAATTCATATAACTGGACAAGTAGACCTGCACGTCACATACCATGCTTATACTACTTGGCCCTGAATGCCCATTTATATGAACTAACACCCATTTCAATCATCCCATAATTTCCCTTTTGTTAGTCGTCTTGTCTACACCACTGATTCCAAGCCCAAATCACCCAATCGATAATTATACCGCTGATTTCCTAGTCTACTGTGCACACGGGCTCGCCTGGACTTGGTCCCTACAATGGTCAGACTCAGCTACACAAAAGATCATTCTCATTACCCTCTTTTCCATACTTTCTTTATCAACCCAAGAATTCCAGCCATCACTGATAACATATGATCATGTCAATATTAATAAAATGATATAATGATAATTAAAAACACTTAAACACCCAATATCAATAATAATCAAATAATAATATCATGCATAATATATTTCTCACGAAATTTAATTAGATCAGTCTTTGTAAAAGGTCACCAAGAAACCCCTACCTTGTTTCCAAAGCTAGCTCCAAGTTAAGAAAACACAAGCTAAGTCCTATACCTCCTCCAAGAATTTCCTCACTATTCTCTCTCCATCTACGTTTTTCTCTCTTTGCATGAACTTTCATGCAAGGTTAAAAGCTTTCAAAAACAAATAAGGAAATGTCCTATTTATAGTAATACTCAGGAGGATTCAATTTGTTCTAATTGGTGGGGAGGTGATGACCACGTGGGAACTTGGTCTCCAAGATTAGGATAGCTACCATCAAATTGCCAACACCTCATGTTAAATAAAGCTTAGTCACCTCAATAGAATGACACTTGGAGTCTAAAGTGTGTTTGTAAAAAAAAGTATCTAGGCCATTGAACTTGGTCAGTAAGAAACGAAGAGATAAAGTTGTTTAAAGTAATACATATACTTATTTATAATATTATTACTATTTTTTAATAAATAATAAGAAAACCTAAAAATATAACGCGTACCAAAACAATTATATATAAGTTATAAACTAAATACGTAGCAAAATATTTAATTTCCCGAAATATAATATTATATATATATATATTAAAAATACAGGGTTTCACAGATATCCACTAAGCCATGCATGTGCTAACCTCGGATAAGGATTAACAGCCTCATGCACTATGGAATTTGGAATCGTCGTCGTTTCGGGTTGACTAGGGTTGGCATTACTAGCGAGTAGTAAGCAAAGGTCCTCGACCAGTTGGGTTAGAGATTTCTCCATCTCCTCGAGCTTATCTTGACGATGGTCCTCCTTCATTGATTTCGTCAAATCGACCAGTTGGATTACAGATTTCTCCACATCCAATATCATGTGGCATGAAAGTGAAACCATCGTCAAGGCATGGTCTTCCTGAACATCATGACTCCAGGTGAGCTCAACGACGGCGGAAGGTCCAGAGATATTCCCATCCTCCATGATAGACAATGAGTGATTGGCTCGGAAGCCACAATTGATGTATTCAATTTAGGGTTTATAAGATTTGAAAGAACCCACCACAAAAAACAAAAACCAAAAAAAAAAAAAAAAAAAAAGAAAATTCTGATTTATTTATTTTTTTGGACGAAGATTCTGATATTTTAATTGATACTCAAATATATTTTTACAAATAAGCCCCATTTTAAGCCTATTTTAGCATGACATATTAATATATAAAAAAATTAATATAGCCTATTTGGAGAGAAAAACGCAAAACATAGTCACTTGTCATTTTTTCATTGGTTCTTCAACAATTTTCACACTAATAACCAATTAGAAAGTGACAAGTGTCTAGTTTTGGATTTTTCTCTTCAAATAGGCTCCATAAGGGTTTTTGTATATAATGTCATGTTAGAATAGGTCTATTTATGGAAAGCCCTATTTTGAATTCTAATACTAAGGCCATCTCCAGTCATGGGCCATAGACCAAATATAGCCATAAAATAATGCAAAACTCATCTCCAGCCATAGGTTAAAAAAAATTTTTGGCAAATTTGGAATGCCACATTTGGCCCTTTAGCCATCTAACTAGGCCAATGTAGTCTAGCTTTTGCCTAGGCCAAATTTTTTTGTGGGCCCAGCACATATGCTTTCCAAGAGTAAAAAGTATCACGTGTAGGCAAGAACACGAAACATCTCATGCAATTGTAAATCCAATAGCCAATATTAAAGGTGCATTGACATCATCGATGACGTCAGCTAGCTGTTAGGTTTTTATTTTTATTTTTAAGTTTTAATAACCTTTTTAAATGTTTTTTTAATTTATATATATATATATATAATTGGTTTCTAATCGTTGGAGATCAGAACCAGTGATTGAAAAGTTATTTTTTATTTTATTTATTTGAAACCTTTTTAAATGTTTTAAATTTATTTTGTTTTAAAAATAATATATAAATTAAAAAATATTGTCTCTAAATCGTAATTTAATTAAATTAAATAATACATAGTTGTGGAATATATGAGTGTTGTACCATAGTTTTTCTCAAAATAATAAAATATGAATGACCCTAAAATATAGCCATGCATGGCTGGAGATGGAAAAATTTAGTCATGCACTATTCTTTAAAAAATTAATATTTTGAAGGACTAAATTTTTAGCCCTGAACTACATTTAGCTCTATGACTGGAAATGGCCTAAGTATCTTATCGCATGTTTAAGTTGAAGATATACTATATCTTATTGGTCTAATGGAGAATTTTGAATTTTGGGCGCAGGCAGATGCTTTGGCAAACTTAGGACATGATCTTTAACAACCATTTGTTTAGGGGATATTCTTGGTTTTTTTTTCTTTTTGTGTCATAAAACCACAAGTATTATTTGAGACCATTTCTTTGTAAATTACAAATTCTTAAGTATAGCAAACGAAGCAGAAGCTGTGCCTACATCTTGATGCCTATAGATGACAAGTTTAACATCACTCTCTAAAACAAATTATAATTCATGTACTTCTACCGGTTCCAGCACATAGCAAGAAGTTATATGTAGAGTCCAACACTTGAATCATGCAAGATACTTGAACATGTTATGATTTTCCTTGTCCCTCTCCACGTAGTCACGGACGATGAGATCTTCAATCTGCTTCTTAATTGCTCTCATGTCAGGCTTGAATTTATGTCTTAACTGCTCAACACACTCCATAACTAATTGCTGATGACCCAAAACCTTCCGACTCTTCATAATCCGCACGATTGCAGCATCAATAGCATATCGCCTGAATCTGTCAACATCTTGGATCACCTCCTTCCTTTCATCCACTGGTGGGAGAGGAATCTTAATTCTTCTCATTCTGTCAGTGAATTTGGAGTTGAACTCAAAGTTGTCATTTGGCGAGATAGTCTTTGCATTAGGCTCCTTAATAAGGATCTTGTACTTGGCACATGAAAGCGAATGAAGGATTCGAACAGCTGCATCATGGGTAAGGTTTAACTTACCTAGTATTTCTGAATAGCTCAATTTATCAGCGCTATTGAAAAGTAGCAGGATAGCAGCCTGATAGGTTGACACAACCAATTCGATTTCTTTTGGCTCAAACTTGCCAATAATGTTGCAAGTGCCCAATGAGTAGATCCATTTAATTTTTCTGCATTTCGTCTTTGTTTCATAGAATCCCTTGAAGACTTCAACACATTTCACCATCTCTGCAGGAAGGCTAAGATCACATGATTTATAACTTGGCCAGAAACCAGTTGTAAGAACGGAGACGGTCAAATCCATCCCAGGATTTACATTTGGGTTACTGTGAAGATACTCCTCAAAGCTGGTCTGATTGTCCCGAGCCAATGTCAAATCTGTGACCATTCCCTCCATCTTTGAGGTGAACTGTCCACCAAATTGCTGTTTCATCTTTGTTAGAATAATTTTTTCATGTTCCTTGTTGGCACTCTGATCAAAAAGTAGCCGGCGAGAAAGTTTTTTCCTATAGAATTCTGCAAAAAGGTCTTTGTCACTGATATAAGCAAGCAAGTTAACAACCTTTTCAAGCATTCCTTCTATGGCCTCATCGCTCAACTTCTGGCTCCCACCCTTTTTGAGGATATCATCACAGAATGCAGCAAGTAATTGAGCACTTGAATTCCCGGAAACAGATTTATTGCAAAATCCATCAAACGCCTCTCTCAGAGCCTTGTGAAAGATATGGTTTTTTATTAAGAAATCTTCGAAATGTGCCATATACTTATCATGAAGCTCGATCATTTTTGTGACAAGGACCTGTTCCAGCATGCCAGAAGCTCTATCAGAAGCCTGGTTGTTTGCTGCATATTCAGCCTGTTGGACCAGGGTTTTAACTTCAGCGCTAACTTTCTGTTTAAATACATTAGCAAGAGGTTCAAACAACTCCTGTTGCACTTTTTCCACCAGCTTTTGCTCACTGCTTGAATGCATGTAATGAGAAACCCTAGCCCTCTCCCTTCTCAAGCATTCCTCAGCCTGCACCAAGTGATCAAAACAAAAATCCTCCAAAAGCCAACTTGATGCTTTACGAGTATAGTATTCACCAGCATGTCTCAGCATGTGTTCCTCAAAGTCCTCCTGATAAGTATTCATTTGTCCCATTCCAATTCCAACAAATACATCTATCGCATTCTTCACTAGTGCCCTGTCAATCTGCTCTCCAGCACGTTCTTTATCAACAAGACCAATTACGGTAACTCTGGCATTAACATTTATCTCTCGATAAACCAAATCGCGGAAGCATGTAAGTCCAACGTCATTTAGGCTAAGAAGTGATCTCCTAGGAATGAAGAAGCGATCAAGAAAATTAAAACAGTTTGACAACCACCTAATCATAACTCTATAATTTGCCCATCTTCTCACAAGCTCCTGCAGCATAAATTCGTCATGTTTCTCTATTACAGAGGGCAACACCGTTGTGGTTACATATTCCTCCAATGCCTCCTTATATTTATCATATAGCTGTTGAGAATAATTATGAGGAGGCTTTTGGGTACACATATTGTAGATAGTTGTGTAAACGTTCATATATTCTACCGAGCTGAACTGAGGCTCCGGTAATCCTTCTAAAATCCTCTTTATTTTTGTCAGCATACTCTGGATATAGTCCCATCCTTGATCAAACTCGATAAGTTGGCGACAAATTCCAGCTATAATGAAAGGATATGCAACAACATGTCACGGAATCTGCTATGGTTTCTTGACAATATATCAAAGTGAGTGAAAATCAAAAGACCAAATGTTTTTTAATGTCTCCCCATCTTGTATCTCTCTTGAAATTTTGACATGATACAAGTTCCAAATAAGAATTCCTCCTCCCCAAAACGCTCATAGTTCGACAGGAAATAGATATTAAACGTTCTGCAACAGGAAATAGAAATGAAAAGTTCTGCAACTTGAAATTTTGCATCAGATTTTTCCTAGTACAACATTTTGCATGCTTGTTCTGAACTGAATAAATTTGATCAAACAAAAATGAAAGAGAAATCTATCATAATTACAAATTAGTCAATTGGAAATTCATGGAAAGAAGTATACCTGAGATCATCGCTATGAGGGAGGAGCTGACGGCTTAGGAAGAAAACCCAGGAAGTGAAAAATCGAATGGCTGCGTGGAGAGGCCGAGAAGCTTCGTGAACCCTCTTCTTCAATGGGCTCTCCTCTGCCACTCCAATTGTCACCAACAGCTCTCTCTCTCTCTCTCTCTCTCTCTCTCTCTCTCTGTGCAGCTGGAACAAGTGCTCTACATAAAAACCCGAAAGCAAAAAAGCAAGAACGAGGACTTGAGAAATGGAAATTTCTGTTATACTTCTGCACAAAATTGAAGTTTGCTCAGGCCATTTTCTACGAATTTGTCCCAACCTGACCTGACAAAGTCAACAACGATAAAGCAGAGTCCAAAGCTTCAAAGCAAAGCAAACCTGCACTAACAAGATTGGGCCTATACCTTCCTTACGGGGTTAGGCAATTACACAGATTTCAAAGGGCTTCTTTGGACACCCAAGAGGTAGGATACCCCTTCTGTTATACTAAAATTCCCATAATTTTTGTAGACACCCAATCTCATTTCAGATATGCCAAAGGTAACACTAGAAAGAAAAAAATAATAATCATATTTTGGTTCTTAAACTTGGAAATAAAGAAAAAATAAATAAAGAGAGAAGGAGGGCAACCAACCTAATTTATCATCTTCTTCCTCTTTCTGCCTCGTTTGGTGGCTCAGCCTTATACTTTTTCTAATGTAACACAATTTGCATTTTGCACATTAGAATATCATCTCACGAATGCATTGTTTATTTATGTGAATTCAATTTTTTTATTTTTTTTATTTTTTATAACATGATAACTATCGTATTTTAGTTACGTTATTCCGATGGAGCATAATTCAATTTTCATATTAATATTTTGTCTTAGAAATATACTATCCTCATTTATTTTTCTACACCAGGTTATATTCACTATCTTGTTAGAAAAAATATGGTCAAATATGTTCTAAAATGCAAAGTGAAAATCATTCTACTTATCACTAAAGAAAACTCTGATGAATAAACCTTACACTAATTAGGCAAGGTATCTAATTTAAAATGGAAAATAAGAGAGGATTCAACTTATGACGAAAGAAAAAAACTGAATAAACCTTGCGAGGATTCAACTTATCACGCCCCAATATGGGCATGTCCAGTGGCGTAGCCAGAAATTTTATTAAGGAGGATCAACCTTAAACAATTATGATAATCACGTTGTAACATTGGATGAAAATTAGATCTCCAATGCCCAAAAAACAAACCCTCATGCAAGCTACCTAAAGCAAAAAGGAAAGTTAATAAATCATATTTCTAAATTATGGAATCATCCATAGATCTAAATACATGATATCTAAACTATATAACTTATCATATGAAATAAAGAAGATGAAAACACCGTTTTATGAGATGGGTGTGCTACAAGTAGAAAAGTGTCAATCATAGACAGGTCGAAAACAATTTAGAATGGTCAAAATGTTCTTTCAAAGAAGTGACGAAATCAGAGTACATAAAACAAATTAAGAGTCTCACAGAAAACAAAATAGATTTCATTGTTGTCACCACTATTGTATCCTTTCACCTCCTCAAGATCACCTGCATCAAAACTGGATTCCAAACCAAGCTAAAATCGCAATAGGATAATCACAATAGTATCTTTACCTTTTGAAATCAAAAATGCAGAATTGTTCATTAGGTGGGGGACAAAAGGACTCTTTATTATCTTATAAGATAAGATTTTCCATTATTTAGAAGGCTAAAAGAAGAAAAGAAAAAATACTAACATAATGAGAAATTATAGAATATTACGGTATCACCGCGTCAACAACAAACAAACACAAAAACCTCACCACATAGGAGTCAATCTCCGACCTTTATGTAATGACACTGTCAGTCTGACTGATACTATTATTGGTGATTTTTTTGTTTTTTTTTTCCTATATTTTTTGTTTTTGTTTTTGGCAAATCAATCACCCAATTGCCGACTTCAAGAAGCAAAGCAGATGATATTATCAATAAATTCGGGCAAAGAAACAGCCAGTAGAAGATCCAATAGTAGCGGTCGCTCCTCTCACTCGCGTGCCTCCGTGATATTATTTGCTTCTTCTCTACCACTCACACACCAACAACCAACAACCAACAACCAACCATTACTATTACTTTGTTCTTCCCATCTTTTAAAAAGGAATTTTGACAGACAACAACCCACAAGATCATGGACTTCACTACCCCTTCCATTGACTTCATCTTCATCTTGGCCTTCATCATATCCATCCCAAGTTCACTTTCCGTACCATTCATCGTGCTTCATGGTAATTTCCTGCTCTCTATTTCATTGTTGCCAGCTTTTTTCTTTTTCTTTCTATTTAAAGGATGTGTATTTTGTTTGATGAATCTGTTTTTGCATCTGGGTTATTGATAATTTTTCTGGGTTTTGGTTGTTATTATTTTCTGGATATGATGATTATCCAAGTGTTGACTAATTGATTGTTGAAATATGCTTTATTTAGAAAAGATTTTAAGAACTAATGGGATGTAGACACTACTATCCAAAATGTCAGTATGTCTATGCGTGGATTTAATCTTAGTGTGGAAAAAAATTCCTGAAGCCAGTGATCTCCAGTGAATTTTATTTTCTGCAACTCGAATTTTATGTGCTTTTATAGAAACAGAAATCTAGCATATCCATAATTGTCTTAACTAGTTAACCCGTTACGACGATTACAGATCAAAGAATTAAGACCCTGTATATCAACGTACCTTTTCCACTTAAGAGTATAATGACATAGGTTTTTCCTATGTTGTATCCTCTCTGCAGCAACGTTAAGGGAACATACTTGAGAAAAGAAAGCAAATTGCTTTCTGTGTCTTTACTGTTTTTGACTTAGCAGTAGAGTGAAAAAAATTGGTCGTCATTTTTTAAAATCATCACCAAGAAAAAAACTGAAATTAAGAAGGTTGATACTGTGGCGATATGATTTCAGTTCTGAAAGTGTTACCAATTGGATTATGCACTCTATCCCTTATAATTACTGCATGATATTGTAGTACTTCTTTTGGCCTCCTTTTATATGTTTGGCTAGTATTTCATCCTGTTCTCTTATCATTATTTATCATTCTACTCATATGCTCTTTCTCTACTCCAGTCCTAATGCTTCGTCATGGCAGGCATTGGAGATCAGTGCTCTAATCGAGGAGTTAAACAGTTTACAGAGGAACTGAGGAACTTTTCTGCTGAAGGATATGGATATGTGCAGTGTTTTTTTTTTTTTTTTTTTTTTTTTTTTTTTTTTTTTTTTTTTTTTTTTTTATCTGTTTGTTTTTTGCCACTGATATATGATATATGTATCTGCTAGAGATAATTGCTAACAGTTCATTCATGACATTGCTCTTAACAACTCTTATATTGTTTCCTGATTCAAATTCTGATTATAAGTTTTGCGTTGACATATGTTGTTGCCCACTTGAGTTTTATAGAACAAGATGATAAAATATGGCGCTTCATTGTTTTTAAAGATTCTTGGTAGTATGCCAACTGAGAAGTGCACCCTTATAGTTGTTTACACGTTTTTTATTTATTTATAATTTTTATAAATGTTTTAGGAGCGTCTTTGTGTTTTTCCATGTGTAACGAGATTGCTTGCCTTTGCCTTCCTGCAGAGAAGTTGGCGATGGAACATGGGATTCCTGGTTTCTGCCTCTTGAGGAACAGGTTAAAACTAAAAACTGGAAAAACAAGACTTGTCATCTTAGACGTAATTTTTATGTTCACTTGTAATTTGACTTTTGTACGTGTTTGCAGACCAGAATTGTTTGTGACAAGGTAATAATGCTCTCTACGTTAGTATATATTGCTGGTCTGGCTTTTGAAGTTTTTGTTACCTTTGACTGTGTTCCCCACTACAACTACAGGTAAAAGAAATGGAAGAACTGAGACAAGGTTACAACATTGTTGGTCTCTCCCAGGTATTATCATGATTGGATCTTTCCATTTGCACCTATATCTGTAATACAGTATGCTCCAAGTTGTTTATTGATTTACATTGGGGCACATTCACAAACCTTTAAATTCAATCCTTTTTCTTAAAATGTGTTTGCTTATGTGTCGGAATAACTGGCGACACTTTCTGAGTAGAAGTAATTTCATATGTAGAAGTAAGCTATTTTTTAGTTTCAATCTCAACTAATGATGTCGCGCATGTTTCTTTTAACAGATGAAGTGGCTTATCATGTTCAAATTTTACATCTAGTTGTTGTCTTCTTAGTGTATGTGTGTGTGAAACAAGGCTGTATTTCCATATTAAGTGTTCTTTAACAGGGTACAAATGATGTATTTTCCTTAGTGCATGCCCTAATACCTAATAAAAATGGCCTCGCAGATTTGTGAAGGCCTCTCTTGCCTTAAGTCATGCAGCCTCATGCGTTCTCAGAAAAAAGTGATCATTTGATTTATGTCCCATGAAAGGGTTTTTCAAGTTTGTCATACTTATGTAGCATATAAGATAATGGAACTGATACCTAATATTCATGGCCGCATACTCATGAATAAAATGGTGATTCCGGAAATCAAGTCCCCAGAACCAGAATAGCTTCTTGAATTCCTTCCTCATCGGTTACTCTTAGTAATATATTTCATTAAGTCTTTTCTTGCCTCATCCGCCTAATTTTCTTCCTTGTTCCATTGCTTATTTGTGATTGTTTATCAATGGTTCTCTTAGCACATTGACTTTGAATCAAATAACTCCTTACAGGTGCTACTAATCACCATCCTCACCCAACTGATTCTTGGTTTGCAGAACTATATATATTCTGTAATATTTTTCATTCTGCTGGTCGCTGGGAATATTGAAACTTTATGAATTTTCATTTCTTTAGCTGAACGAACAGAAACAAATATCTTTCAAGCCTTTGACTTGTGGCTTTGGTTGTTTAGGCGGGATGATCTGCTGTTACTTTCTTTTCTTTTCTTTTTCCGGTTTTTGAATTTTCTCATGTTGTTGGTTTTCATGTTAGACTGTTTTCTCAATCCCCAATGCTTATGAGTGAATTAGTTTATTATAGCTTACATGCATCAATATTGCGTGTATACATATGAGTTTTGAATGATGTTCAAATAATTGCAATCAATTGATTCTTTCTCATACCTTTTTTTTCTTTTCTAAATTTAACAGGGTAATTTGATTGGCCGAGGTGTTGTAGAATTTTGCATCGAAGGACCTCCTGTAAGATTCAGTTTAGTAAACTCTGATATTTCCAAGTTTTTTCATCTGTCTTTCAACCAACTACATCAGTAGTTATTATAATTAATTAAACTTCAGTTATCATACGCATATTGAGCTAACCTGGCTATAACATGTTTGAAATGTATAACAAATGGTGTTTTAAGTAGCTTGAAAAGCATTTAAAACTACTAGTTTAGTTGTGTGTGTTAGCCATGCGAAGTTCATTAGTCGATACGTTCAGCTATGGAATTGCGTACTACTCTGTACTCCTTATGTTATCCATATAAAATACAGTTCCTTTGGTAGTAAATAAGAGCAAGCACATTTTTGTATGGTCTTAGTCTATAGGGAAATGCTCCATTAGATTTACAGGTCTTTCTCCGTATCATTGTTTGTTTTTTCTTAATGCACATTTATTGCGTAAGTGGTTGTTTTATTTCCTCACGTCTGTGGACTTTACCAATATCAAATTTTTTTGCTTTTTCAATTATTGAAACAGGTTAAGAATTTTATCTCTTTGGGAGGACCTCATGCGGGTACTGCTTCGGTGCCTCTTTGTGGTGTAAGTATCATACTATCATCTTGGAATTTTGATTAGTCTTTATACAAATTCTTTTGTCACACTGAGATTGCTTCTGGTTAGGAGAGTACATATAAACCACAAGTGGACGGACATGCAGTGTAGAATCCATATTCTTACAAACTACACCATAGTATGGTATATGAGCTTGATGTTGCCTCTTCCCAATAGCCTGGGCCTTTGGGAGAAGCTTGGGGTTGTTAAATGTAGTTTGTAAATTTTAGGTACAATTGACACACATTTGGAGAAATTTATGCTTTTATACAATAGTTGGACTAGCACTTTCTAAGTACTTCGTCACAAATGGCTGCTGCAAGATCATTTCCTACATTGTTCATTCAATCACAGAAGATAAGAATAGTTTGAAAACATGTTGTATCATAGTCCACTTAAGAGTGGAATTTTCAATGCAAAGATCCCATTGTTCTGGTTTTCCACATAATTGTCCGAAGGTTACCCTTAAGTGATGTCTCAAATCATAATGATCATAGAGTAGATAATTATCACTCATAAGAAACCTCTAATGCATACAGGTTTAGTTAAAAATAATGTGTGACCTCTTTTGAGATATGTTGATATTGCTCAACAGCTTTTGTGTTTGCTTTTGTCGCTCTGCAGTCTGGTATATTTTGCATTATTGCAAACCAGCTACTCAAATCAGAGATCTACTCTGACTATATCCAAGTATGCATCTATTTCTGCCGATTATTTCTTTTTGTCTCCATCCTGGTGTCAACTTTCAATCTCCTAGGTATATTTCTGATGAGGCCTGACCATTTGAACCGATTCTGGAATTGCAGGCTCACTTGGCTCCCAGCGGTTATCTTAAATTACCAAATGTGAGTGGCTAAAAGTAAAGCACTAGGAGACATTTTAATGAGGCTTTTACTGCATATTGTTATGTTATACGTATATACAAATAACCTTGCAGTTATAAGTTCGCTGAAATTAATAGCCTGCTTTTGTTTTCCTTTTTAATTTTTGGCTTATAGATTAATTTCAAAATGTTGTTTGTGTTTTCTGGGATATACTTGGGATAAATTTCATTTGATGAAGTAGTTTTCATGCTCTCAAGTGTCCATTTATACTACAACAAAAGCCATATATGCCACTCGTAATTTTTCACCTAAGATTAAATCTCTGTTTGCTTAACAATAGCTGTAAACCTAAGCATCCAGATCAATAATTTCTTCACAGGCAATGGCTGACTATTTAGAAAAATGTAAGTTTCTTCCAATGCTCAACAACGAAAGACCGGATGGGAAAAACTCCACTCTCAAGGAAAGGTTTAGTAGCTTAGAGAACCTGGTGCTTATCATGGTAAGTTGTAAAATACATATTTCTGAGCGTAACATTTCTTCAATCTCTTTCTAGATTCATTTTTGTCCATGTTAATTTTGTATTTCTGCAGTTTGAGCATGACACTGTTTTGATACCTAAGGAGACCTCATGGTTTGGTTATTACCAAGATGATACCTTCAAATCAATTTTAAGTCCACGACAGGTAATTCCATAATGCTAATACTATTATTGTTAAACTGAGTATTTATTTACATATTAATGTTCGCTAAAATCGAGTAGTCTTGCTGATGGTTTAGTTACTTATTTCTTTTTGCCACTTAACAGTAAATTCAAGTGGGATGCGTTACAAGATTTGCTTTTATGAATTAAGCACAAACGTCATCTTAGCTTTCACTTATTTTTATGCAGACCAATCTCTATAAGGAGGACTGGATCGGTTTGAGAGCCTTGGATGAAGCTGGAAGGGTTAAGTACATCAGTGTTCCAGGAGGTCATCTCGGAATCTCCACGAGCGACATGAAGAAGCATGTGGTACCTTACTTGAACAGTTTAGCATCAACAGAGATTGGAAAAAAGGAAGGTAATGATCCTAGAAAGAGTGGAGTTCAACATAGAATGCCTCTTTTGGATGAGAAAGCATCAACTGAACTTGTTCTAGAAGGATCATCATCATACAGATGGCCCTTACCAGTCAAGACTTTGTTCAGTGAACTTCTTGGGCTCACAGAAGACGAGTCACTGCCTTAGCCTTGACTCAAGATTAATTATTAGGTGAACTCAAACAATAAACTCAAAAATTAAGCTATATGTACAGTAATTGAAATTTATTCCTTGCCAGTTACTGAAATGGTTATACTATCTCTGTAAATAAAATTGCTTGCAATTGTTACCACAAAACATATCATTTCATATTCTGCATGTATGGTGTTTTTGAGAAAACATGGGAGCCATGGTATCTCAAATTTATCTTTGGAACCAAGTCTCACCAGAACTCTGAAAAACTTGTTCATGATGTAATTACCGACATGTTGGTTCGTAATTCCGTTTTTTTTTCCTTTTTAGTTTTTGTGTTTACCATTTTTCTTTCCAAATTTTCCTGACCAGATGATGTGACACTGAAAAGGTTAAAATTATTTAAGTTTGAGCTCACTCTGAATTTTATCTATTTCTAACGAGCCTTTTTTTTGTTGTCTTTTTGCACAATAATAAAGAGCTTAATGATTCGTCCAAAATAATAATAAAGAGGTTAATGATTTAAGTATTGGGGTGAACAAAGAAAAGTGTGGGGTTTAAATGAAAAAACCCCTATTTGGAATATACTGATTTAAATAAATTGCAAACCAAATTGTGATACTGCAATGGTGTCCATTTTCCATATGCACAGAAACTTTTCTTGATAAGCGTTTTGTGGCCACACCTGTTGTTTTGTTCATACAATTGGCCAACTCCAACTCATGGCAAAGAAGTAATTCAATGCGTATGACAGCTTTGTTTAGACAGCTAAAATGAATTGGGGATCAAAATCTTTGTACCATCCTGCTCTCACAAGAGTGATTCTTAGTCATCATTTTGAACGACTTGACAACAAACCATGCAGGTTCTGAATGACTTTTCCAAGGTTCTTTCCTACCAGCTCACTCAATAATCACTAAATTATACGTACTCCACATATAACCACTACATTTTATGCATCATTACCATAATGCTCAACTTCCTTTCATTTCGACTCAAGATAAAGTTGCGGACTCAAATTACAGGAGGAAAAACACAGTTTAGTGCTGCCTAATGTAACATTATTTTCCATTTTCTGTACGAGAAAGAAAGTATAAAAGAACGCTTAGCAAACATCTTATATGCATTCTAATGAGGTTTTCCTTAGTAGACTTGTATGTCCACATTAATGCTTCCCATATGATCAGCCCTCATCGAGCAGCTGCTTTCCCTGCCGAAGTTCTCTCCTGACATCTTCTGGTGGGCGCGGCAGCGGAGCCACAGACATGAGATTCTTTCCAGAGCTGCCTGACCGGCTACTCGAACCCGATAGACAACACTTACGTCTGCCCATATCTCACTTCCCACAGCACCTGATTGGTGATTTGCATCATATCCTTCAAGATCTGATTCAGTTATCACTACTACAGAGCCTTCGTCGAATGGAACTAGATCCTGTGAGGAAACAGACTGCAGGGATCGAATCATTAGATTGGTCATGCGGCTGTAAACAACAGCTTTCTTCACCATTATATAGTAGTATTCCTGTACAGCCTGCAAAGCAACCGTCAAAGAAGAGCTCAGGAAAAGAGTAAAAGTCAAATTGAAGGGTAGAGTTAGTCATGCCACAGACAAACAAAAATCTAGTTTAACAAATTTTAAGCAAACTGATCCACAACATACAATCTCCCAAGATGGATTACGATAAGATATCTTTAAGCATCAGTTTATACACAATGATCTTAATGTGGAGAAAAAGTAATACTACAATGTTAAATGAAACAGAAAAGAAAGTATATCTCCATTCACACCCAATGTTTTGCTCAATACACCAAAATGTCAAAAACCATTTCCACCCAAATTTTGCCCTTGTCAAAGTTCGGAGAGGGAAGAGGCAAAAAAAGGGGGGAGAAGATGTACGTTTCTCAAAGAATAAAATTTTCAAATGGTTAAATAGGATTCATAATCTGTACAATAATTTTGCAAATTTGTTAAGCAACAATGTGGAGTTCAATTAGAATCACCTAAAAAACGCCTACAATAGAAAACACCAAAATTCCCACAAAAAAGGAAAATGAACAAAACTTCCTGAGTTTCAAACACGAAATAGCAGGACCAACCAAACAGCAGGGAGAATGAACCCACGCTGTGTAAGTTACCTGCCACTGAGAAGGGGCTAAAAGCACCCTAGGACGAATTGACTTCAGATATTCATAGGCAGAATCAGGTGTCATCTGCTTGTGATGGACCTATATAAAGACAAAAGATCAGAAAAGGTGGCAATCTTCTAGTAATTTGTTATTTTCAGAGTTCAGTACTAACCAGGTAACAGATAACAATGGTAGTACTACGCCCTCGTCCAGCTTTACAGTGAACATATGTTGTCTGTCCACAAGATGCATTTTCTTCATGACAAAAAAGGAAAAATCATATCAACAAATAATAGTCTTCTGGGGAGAAAAAACAACCATACTTTAGAAATTAAAATTGAACATTTAAAGGAAACTAACAAAGTTAACATCCCAGTAAATACAGGTAGAAATATAATGACTCAACACAACACCCCTTACTGAAGAAGCAACTGCTTTCAAAAAACAAGACACAGATTTCAACAGAAATATCTCTTCAAGATTCTAAAATTTCGCCCAATTTTTTTATTTTATTTTTAATAAACATGAGCAGTAGATGGTCCAGAATATTCAACAATCCAAATTTAGTTACACTGGAAAAATCCAGAAGGGCAGCGTCACAACACCCTTGCATATCAGAAAGTACTAAGTACCTAGAGCCGTGTTATGCTAAATGATGCAATATCAGATGCTAATCAATATAATTAAATCAAGGATGCAAGAATGATTACCATGAATGAAGTCTACAGCACGACATGTATCACTCAGTGATGGTGCAAAGCAGTAATCTCTTGTAGGAATCACCAGATGGTTAATTCCGTGATACTGCCAAAAGTTTAATGGTTAGATTAGAGCCCAAAAAAACCGTAAAAACAAAAACAAAATCCAGAAGTTTTATCCAAGTACAGACATTCACAAAGTCAACTTTAATCCAGAGCATTCACAAAGTCAATTTTAATCCAGAGCATTCACATATTAATACATACAAAAGTATGGCAAAGCACCAGCTAATGCTGTCAGATGCCTATGGCATTTTGGGAATACTTCTTCCACTGAGAAGCACTTTTGTTAGAAGCACAGCAAAACTTTTACTAAAAAAACAAGTCCTTCCTGAAAATGCACTTGCAAAGCACTTCATGAGGAAGCACATACAGCACTAAAAACTGCTTCTATAAGCTAGAAGAACTTGTAACCTTTTCTGCCAAACGTGAAGTTTTACTATAAAAATAAAAACCCAAGTGCTTCCTGAAAATGCACTTGCAAGAACTTCCTGAAGAAGCACATAAAGTACTAAAAATTGGTTCTATAACCTAGAAGCACTTTTAACCTTTCCTGTCAAATGTTTCCAAAAACGCTTTTGGCTATCAGAAAGTGTTTTTAGCACTTATCAAGGCATTTCCACACAGGCCTAAATATTACATGAAAATAAAATACTAAAAAACTCTGAGCAGCAATAACATTTCATTTAAAAGAAAAATGTATCAATTTATCTCCATAACCAAGCAAAATCTGATAATACAAATCTAGAAAACCACTAACATGATAAAGAGACGTTGGAACCAAAGTCTCATATGGCTCATTAAGTGTGATGACTCCACAAACTCCAACTTCCTTTAAGCGGGGCACATCGGTAGGGAATGGAACTGCACCTAACAATACAAACTGAAAATCGAAGTGTTAGAATTTAAACAAGAAATTGATTCAGATCAAAAAGTCCAATAGTTCAAGCACATAAACTCTGATGTAAAACTACACAAACTTTAACCTGACAAGTCTAAGGAATAGCACAACGCACAATAACGAACAGAGAACTGAATCAGGCATATAAACACACATATAACAAGGCCACATGTAGAATAAACAAAAACAAATTTCTTTCATTTAAATATAATCAGCTGCATCTCATTTACATCTACAATTAACAAAGATAAAAACAAAACCAAAACAAAAATCGCATATTAAATCATAGCTGCAGAAAAAAGGATAAACACCCACATTTATAAAATAAATAAAAGAGCTTGATAAAATTATATTTGTACTACACAAACGAGCTTGATAAAATGATATTTGTACCTCATCGACCTTGTCCCACCACCGAAACTCAGCCTGAAGCTTATTCCTGATGACATTGTAAAGCAGAGTCGGGTAAAACAGCGCACGAGCCCCAGCGCCGATCAAAACCCGTTTGGCATCCGAACCAACGATGCTTCTGCTACCAAAATCGTTATTTCCAGGGCATGAATTCCCTTCTTCCACACCTCCAACTTCCCCTACTTTCAATTCCTCAATATACATAGCCTCGGTTGAAACCCGAAACAAAAACAATCACAATTACAACACAAATTTAACAGAAAATCTTAAAATTTTCACAATATTTACATACAAAGGACCATTTACACAAAAAGCGCCATTAAAAAAATCCTAATTTGTTTATTCCTCTATTTACCAAATAAAATTACAAGCGAGAAGACCTATAGTTTCTACAACAGTGAGATGAACAAAGGATCGGGAGAAAATTTGAATTGGAAATAGTGGAAATAAAAACCATGGGAGAAATCGAGACCATAACTTGCGAAAAGGGAGACGATCGGAAAATGAGAAAGACCAGGGTGCGATCGATCGAGGATGGATGAAATTTTTGGGATCAATTGGGAATCGGAAACTGGTGAGAATATGAGGAAACCCTAACCCTACAAAACAAGAATTTGCTTGAATCAGAGGATAGGCTGAGGTTATACTCCACCTTTTGCTCAACAAACTCTGAAAGCGGACGGATGCAAAGAGAAGGAGAGAGAGAGAGAGAGAGAGAAATAAAGAAGAGCGTCGAAGACTCGACTCGAAGGGGTTGTGGGATGGAGGGAAAGGATAATGTCACGGGGATGATTAAGGAGAGAGTTTGAAAATCGATGAGTGGGACACGTGGAGCCATTTCAGGGATCGAGGGGGTTTAATTTATCGTTTTTAAAGGTAACGGTGGGGTTGGCCGACAAGATAATTCGAATTATGACGTATTTTTGTTTTCTTTGCCTTTTCTAATTTTTTTGTGGGTGCAGCGAAAAAACGAACTACCCGAGTCTTCCTACGCCACCCATTGTGAACAGGTCAGTTTAATTTTATCAAATTAGCATGGATTGGAATTGAAACCAATTAGATTACTAAAATGTCCTTGTTATGTTAAATTATAAGATAAATTTGAAATTTGAAAAATTATGTGAGGATATAATAGTAAAAAATATAGATTCTTAATGAGTTAATTATTCAGGAATTATAATACTAATTCTCACTCAAGAGTTTAATTCATTCAAAAAGTTGAATTCCGCCCCACTTAAATTTTCATTCCTCCATATTAAGTAAACACATGAGTCATTCGTAAAAATGGAAGATTAAAAAAAGGGCTAAGTTTTGAACAGTGTTTAAATGTAAACTTGATTCAAATATTGAGTGAGTGGGGGATTCGAACACATGAAATATAGAGATAATTGCTCATAACCACGGGAGCTACACGACACATTCTTCTTCTTTTTCTCAAGTTCAAATATTTTTAGTAGGTGAGATTGTTGAAGTCTTGAGTTGAAATGTTATTTAATTGAAATTACAAACGAAAATGTAAGGTTAGGTTGACAATAATCTCATTATCATCGTTGAAACTTGAAAGTGAATGAATAACTTTTTGTGCTTAGAAGCAAACTGAAAATTAATTTGAACGATAATTTAAGTTGCCTAACAATGGTTTAAAAAAAACAAAAATGATTGACAAATTGACAGAAAAACAATACAAAATAGATTTGTCAGAGTAAAAACTAACATGACTCACATAAAATACAGTATCCTTTTACATGGACTTTGATCTTTTCATAGCATTTTTAAATTAACACTATTGACAATCTTATCCTCTTATAACATTAATTAAAGGCGAAAAAAAGGAAGAAGAAAATGAAAGGTCAACAATAGCAACAGTGAAGTCACGAGGCTCTGCCATGGAGGTAGTACCCTGGATCCGAGCAGTGTTTCCCAACTTGAATTGGAAGAGAATAACTTACAAACGCAGGGATATCTCCTACTTTCTATTTTTTCTTTCTCAGTCATCAAGTGAGAGGGTTCGGATATATGTCCAGAGACTTGGAAATAAGTTTTTCTTTTCTTTTCTTTAAACTATTATTTCTGGAATCATTTTGAATTTGAAACTTCTTCCAACATCAGGAATAGACGTAACAATTTCGTGATTTGGAGATGCGAATGTGGGGGTGCAAGTTTGATTGAAAATTCCGATTCTGATCCAAAACTTTTTGCTTTTGGCGAGTTCAAATCAATTCCGAAATCCGAAAATTTTGAAAAAAAATTGGATTGGAATTAGAATGTATCTCAAGATTCTAAATACTTCTGAAATGTATTGAGGTTTCAAGCTTAGACTACAAATAATGACTAATTTCATGTTAAACAAAATATGACTTCTTTTTTTTCAAGAACAAAATATGACTTAATGACCAAATAGACAAACAAGAAATTTCATAAAGGATAACAACATATAACCCTCCGTTTGGATGAGGGAAAATAACTCAAAATTTAGCTAAAAATTGGGAATTTAATAGGAGAAATTGACAATTCCTTTATTTGGCAACTTAAGTGTGAAATCGCAGAAAAAATCGTCGAAATTGGGACATCAAATTCTCAAGTTTAATTTCCACCAAAATAGGCGTCATTTCACAATTTTCATGTTGCCTTTTACAAAATTATTTCATTTACAAAATTCGGCATACATAAATCCAAACACTGAAATCTTTAATTGCCAGAAATTTTAATGATAGAAATCTAAATTCCTTCATTTTAGAATTCTATGTAGTTTTTTCGAGCTTTTCATATAATTTTTCAATCTTGAGCCAATTTTAACCTTTCAAATTGTTGTACATGTTTGAATATTTTTCAAAATTTTCCGAAAAAAAAAAATCATAAATATGTAAGTTTTGAAATATTGAAATTTTTGAATCATAATTGATGTTGAAATTCCGAAATTTTTTGGAACATAATTTTCATTTTGAAATTAGGGGATTCTAATTCCGATCCGATCTGTCCGAAAACCAGCCCCATGTGAATGACATCATTTTACTTGAAACCTAAGAATGGCATTTTTCAATAAATGAATCGTAAAAATCAGCTTAAAATTGATTAAATCCAGAAAGGTCGGTTGATCGCCACCCATCCATTAAAGGCATTTAAAGCACTCTTGTTTTGTTCGTCCAAAAAATATAAAGCACTCGTGTACTCCCTTTTTTTACCTTTTCTTTTCTGGTGAAAGATTCTTATAGTTTCTACTTTCATGATTCACAAGGAATTGTGACGCGTTCATAATCATGCACCGACTACTTAGTGTAAACAGCAAGAACAACCCCATAAGGGGGGGAGAAAAAAGGGACCACAAGAAAAGGTGTAGGTTTTGAATCTTTTGATGCAAGTAACAGAACCCATTAAAGGGACCCTTCTTTGTTGTTTTTTCATTGTCAATCAATACGGAAAAGACCATCCTACATGATCCACGCTAATGTTGGTCCAAAATCATTTTTACCTAATAATTTGTACTGAAGTTCTACCTAACCCGACACACACAAGATGAACAAGAAGGCCATTCAGGCTGGGACATTATAGACGTACCTTTCGGAAGAAACTACAGATGAGAAAATTATTCCATTTTAGTCGACATCACGAGCCGTCCATTTTTTCACGGCCAGAACTTCTGGTAGGTAATGGCTCAAATCGGAGATAATGGAGAGATTCTAGGTTGAGTGCTTTATGTTCTGTTCTTATACTTCACCCAGAACTTGAAGGTCATATATGTACAAGCAGTACAAGGCATGGCATGGAAAATGCCAACAAGCCAGCCTGCCTTCCTTTTCATCTGTCATCATATAATGATTAAGATTAGGAAAACGTTTTGGTGATTAAATATATTGCTATTGGTCTAATGATTGGGCTTATGAATCTCACCTCAGACCAAGTTTACAAACTAATACGTTTTCATGAAGGAATTGCACTGGTTAAATTCAGAATTATCTATTTCTATAAAATAAAAAAATAAAAAAAATTAATTATTTACATGATTTGAATTTGATCATATGGAATGGCATCTATTCTATATTACGATGTGTCGTAAGCGTTTCAATTGGCTTTCAAAATCCGCTAATCCTAAGTACAGTTTCTCTGGCTTTCACATGAAAATCAATGATAGATTTGTCTGAACTTCAACAAACTTTAATTTGCCCACAAAAAAAATTGGTCACTTTTTTAAATCTCAACACCTCTTCTTTGGGGGGAAAAAAATTTTTTTTTTTTTTTTTTTTGATAGTCTAAATTACAGGAGATGAGGTTTCTCATACACACACACTCAACTAAGATGTCATGGGGGTTCGAATTTAGACCTCTAGTCTACAAGTCAAAATCTTTTTTCACTGGGTTAGACCCAGTTAGCATTCTCAAATAAACTTTAGTTACAATGTCATAAGCGTTTCAATTGGTTTATAAAAATTGTAACTGCTACATGCAGGGCATGTTCGGTATCCTACTAAAAAAAGCGAACTAAAAAATCATAATTCTGTCTTTTAAAACCACGAGTTCTCAAATACTGATTTTAAGATCTAAAAACTTATTTGGTTTTGAACTCCAAACTATTTTTAAGATCTAAAAATAATTTGAAATTAAAATTAGAAAGAAAAAAAAAAAAGAAACCCTAGATTCCCAAATTGAAATTAACAAAAAAAAAGGGAGAAATTGAATGCAATTTCAATTTGTGCTTCAGACTCTACATGAGAGAGAGAGAGAGAGAGAGAGAGAGAGAGAGAGAGAGAGAGAGAGAGAGAATTATGGGCTTTGGACTCAAAAATTAGGGAAATTTGCATAAATATCACCTGAACTTTTAGGCATTGTAAGGGTCTTTTTATTCCAACAGCCTGACGAATGGGCTTGGGCTGCCGAAAAAGAGAAACAGGTGAAGCCATCCCTGTGTCTGAGTTCAAGGATCAGGCCCCAAAAGTGTTTCGAAATGGTAGCTAAGCCTTAGGAAACACCTTGGTCTTCTTCACCAATGAAATCAACAGTCGCTTATAGATAAATTCTTGGCTTGGCATGAGAAGCTTGTGGCATGGGAGTTGAGCATTCATGAGTTTAGCATGAGAGAGAGAAAGAGCTGCAATTTCCAAAAGAGAAGATGAGAGGAGATGGAGGAATATGGCTCGAAATTGCAGGGGTTTCAGGGATGAGAGATGATGATTGCTCTCTAGATGCGTGTTTATGGAAAGAGAGGAAGA